GAAAAAAATGTTGATGCAAGTTCGCCAAGTTCCTTGACGACAGTCGCTCTTATTAAATATAATACTAAACTGTAAAATATATTAATAAACATTTGTTTTTTATTGAAATGCAATTTATAAATAAACGATGGCACTCTCTGAAAAACAGTAATTACATAAAAACGCGGTTTCTTTTTTTTTTATTTTACGATATATGTTTTTCTTCGCGTTACTTTTCTTTGTATTGCTCTCTTTTTGCCATATTTTCTCTTTTTCGTTACCGACTGGGAAATTCTATTTTTCGTTATCGACTGGGAGATTCTTTATTTTATTTTGTATTGTTTTTTCCTGTGTTGTTTCTTTTTCGTGTTATTTCTCATTGCGTTACTTTTCTTTCTTTTTTATTTATTTCTTTTTTTTTCGTTCCGACAGGGAACATTTATTCTTTATTATCGACTGGGAGATTATTTTTTCATTTTACATTATTTTTTCTGCTATTTTTATTATGTCTTTTTCGCGTTATTTCTCTTTGCGCTACTCGTTTTTTGCTCTATTTTCTCTTTTTTTTCCATTACCGACCGGTAACATTGATTTTTCTTTATCGACTGTGAAATTTTTCCTTTTTTTTATTTTGAAGGAATATTTTATTTTATAAACAATATTGCGTATAAATGTTTGTGTATCTTGATAAATTAAATAATAATTTCAAATAATTTAATAATATTTTCAAATATCCCGCCAGAAAATAATTTGACGTGACGATATAATTCCCGTACGAGGGAGACACTATTCACAGGCACATTTTTTACTAGTAGGTTTCCAATATTGATTGTTCATAATTATTTCCCATTCTTAAACTGTCAAAATGTCAAGTTGTAATAAAGAAAAAATGTAATAAGGAAAAGCATAAAGAAAAAAATGTTGATGCAAGTTCGCCAAGTTCCTTACAGTCGCTGTTGCTAATAGGTGCTTATTCTAACGGAAAGAGTTTCACAATAATACAAGAATCTTCCACTTAACCTATTAATCATTCTTTGTAAAAGTCAATGTTTGCATTATTAAACTTATGATATCTTTTCCAGTGCGGTGCTAACAACTATGGGTAAATTATTTTCAATGATATACTTTAGAAAATTTATTACAAGAATTCATTACTCAAAGATAAATAAATATGATATTGACAATTACAAGCTATATGTGAAAATTTTTAGATGAATGTTGCAAGACAGATGATTAGATTTGAATTGCAGTCTTTACTTACAAGACTAGAAGTGGAGCTGATACTTAAGGATATGATTCATTGGTATGTAAAAAAAATATGCTTTATTAATAAGATATATTAAATACTGAGTATGTTTTATTAATTTAATAGTGTTTTAAATACTGTTAGTTATGTCTACTGTCTATTTAAAACTTTGAATAATTATCTTTTTCTCTTTTTCTTCGATAAAAATAACAGGACAAGCGTCAACAGGACAGGAACCACTAACAGTATCAAGAAGATGCCAGCGAAAATGCCCATGAGAATGGCAAAGGATTATCAGCATATAGAGAGAAGAGCTGCAAGGGTAGCAGAGTGGGACGATGTGTTTATATTGACGCCGAGATAAGCGTGGAGCGAAATGCTACATTCTTCTCAATATGTTTGTTTTTTTTGCAACGATAACAACTTGCCTAAAGCAAAACAGATTAACCAGCAAAATATTTGAACAAAAAATTCTACTAAAAGCAAATTTATTAAATAAAACAAAATTGTGAAAAAAGGACTTCTGACTGTTTTTCTTTACATTATTTCAGTAAATATTTCGAATAAAATTTTATTCGAAATTTTATTCAAATAATACCCAACTCTGGGCGAAATTCTGTAGCTAACCATTCTTCTCAAAATTTCTTCGAGAAAGCAGCAAAAACTTGTGCTTGTAGAAAATTAACGTCACATATTGGCATATTAATGTCAACTAAATCAACATTTATAGTATATATATATATATATATATATATACTATATAGTAACTTTTTAAAATGTTAATTTAATTTATAGCCCTACTGTATCATTTTGCATCTGGTAAAACAAAAGGCCAATTACAGAACAGTGTTACTACCAGTACACTCTGGATCGTTATTAGCTATTGTTTGATTCAAACACTAATTAGGCATGGCTGTCCTGATTATTATCTATGTGTATACACAGATACAAATACTGTGCACTGATGAAAATACAAAGACAATTAGTTGACAATTGTAAACGATCATCTACGTATATTTTCCTGAACGTTATAACGTCCTACGCAGCATTGTATTTATATTGTACACATAATAGTAAGAGAACGCTGAAAAACATTTTTCACTATACATTTATTCAACGTCTTATAATACAATAACATTTTCGATACCTTACGAGTGCTAACGTTACACGAGAATTTAATAGTTTTATTGATAAATATGCACTATGTATATAGTGGTAATACAATTTCACTATTTTATAACAAGGTTAGGTATTGCTATGCTAAATATGACATGGTAAAATGTAATTTATAAAATGGGTACAATTTATAAAAAAAAAACAAGAATAAGTAGATATTATTTTTAAATTTGGTTTAATTTGTTTCGTTCTTCTATGTATCGCTTAGATTTTTATAACGAATAATATATGATAACGTTATGGATGTAGATGCCAGTGAGATATTAGAATAAATTGAAGCTATTATACTAATATAAATATAAACAGTGAACGGAACAGCCAACTTATGGTAATTTGAATGCATTGCTGATGGTATTATTGCTATTATTGCTGAACTGGTGGAGCCATTGGAAGACTCGAAGCATTTACGCTTGACATGGCTTTGCTAGGTCCCAACAAAACTTGTTTCTGTTGCGTGCGTTGTGCCTCTTCCATTTGTACTCGTTCTATTTCGAACAATATAGGTGCAAATAAAATAGCAGATGAACTGAAGAATATCCATGCTGCTGAACATGAATATGCATATAATCCTACCAAAACGACAAAAATATATCATTTATTTAAAATATATTCAATAAAATGTAACATTATGATATTAAAGATAATAGATGGCAAAATTAAGGAATACAGACCTTTCATACAATTGCATAAACAAGTACCGACATTATATCCCAAATTACGTACTTCTTCCGGAAACATTTCCGTGAGACCCAATAATCTTTCTGCCAAACTTTCATCCTAAAAACAAACTCGGAGATTGCATTTCTCATAATGAAAATTTGATATAATTAAGCTGCAACACGGAAAACACTATCCGTAAATAATAAAATATTGGTTAACTTCTAAAGATTAAATATAATTGTTGTCGATAAAGTAATAATGTGTAATAACATGGAGCTTTTTTTATTTATAAAATTAATACGTAATCATATATCGAAATGGAATACCTCTTCGTCGTCCTCGTCATCAGGAAGAAGCGATTTCACCTCGGGAGAATGTGCGTCGCTACTACCCATGCCGCTGTCCAATTGATCTACTTCTTCGACTGAAGTCATATGAGAAAACAACTGACGATTGACAAACGAATGAACGATGTTCTTTATTTTTACGAATAAAGATTTAAAATTCACCTTCTTCTACTCTGGACATTGTAAGTTGAGATAAATATCGTATGTGTGGAAATTCACGCCGGTGTAAAGTAGATACGGGACAACTCTGATTTCGCTATCGTCATAAAAGTTTCTAAATTGCATGTACTATGGCGCATGTTCACACGATTATCCAAAAAAATCCCTAGATAATGTTTAAAGTATAGATTTCTATATAATTACCAAGAATGTATAAATCCATCGTATATTTCAAATTATATTTTCATAAATTTGTAAAAAATAAGAGCCAGAATAAAAAAAGTAAGATAACTAATTTAACAGAGAAATATATAAAATAATACATACGTCTGTCTGTCTGTCTGTCTGTCTTTCTTTCTTTCTTTCTTTCTTTTCCCCAACTCCCCTCTCATTTTCTCGCTTGTGTTGTACACTGTTACACAAACTAAACTGTATGTCGTCGGATTTTTTTGATAAAAGTTCGTGTCATCAGCAATATTTCATAATTCGACTAGCACATAAATGATATTGTCATTTGTCTTGCAAAGGTAATTCTCTGAAAGTAAAATTCTTAAAAATGTCAGTAAATATTTTTGCGTTAGAAGTTGTTCAAGAAAATCTGATATTTTTTTAGTATTTTTCGCAATTTTATTTTTAATACACATTTTTCGTTTATTTAATGCTCAAAGTTGTATTTAAACAAATTTCCTGTATATATTCTTTTTATATATTTTACCGATAATATTAATGGGTTATAGATTTACAAGCGTCTAATGCAACATAGATATTTTTAAAGTTACAAAAACGTCTCAAATTTGAACGAAATGGCGAACACGGGAGTGTTACCCTTTGTACGTGGGATTGATTTTAGCAACAATGACTTTGGTGTAAGTGTAGTTCTTCGTATGTGTAGTTCTTTAAGAAATGTGTACAATTGTTACAATTTTATAGGATGGCAAATTTCCCGAATCTGTACGCTTAATGACTGGTATACAATGGCTGAAATTGAACGAGACCAACTTGACCGAGATTCCAGAAGAAATGGGCAAACTATTGAAGCTGGTAAAACTGTCTGCGTATGGACGTTTATTTTTTAATTGTGCACAAAATTCGGAATGAAGCTGTCGTGATTGAGGTTCTTATTGATAATTTGATAAAATGTAACTAATGAAAATTAAATCCTTTTTCTTTCTTCTTCTAACAGGAACATCTTTCGTTAGTTAAGAACAAAGTGGAACGCTTGTACGGAGAATTAACTGAACTCTGTTGTCTTCGAACGTTGAACATAAGACGCAATAACGTTAAATCAAGTGGTATTCCAGCAGAGTTATTTCATCTGGAAGAATTAACTACGTTGGATTTGAGTTATAATAATTTGAAGGAAGTACCAGAAGGTTTGGAGAGAGCTCGATCTTTGCTAAATCTGAATTTAAGTCACAATCAGTGAGTATTACGTGTATCAATTGTGCACGCATAATCGCTAATAATGTTACTATGGTCCTTTCAGTATTGAGACAATTCCAAATACATTATTCATTCATTTAACTGATTTGCTATTTCTGGATCTTAGTAATAATAAGTTGGAAACATTACCACCGCAAACTCGCCGCTTAGCAAATTTACAGACTTTAAACTTGAATCATAATCCATTAGGACACTTTCAATTAAGGTATAGAAACAAGATCGATATGACAAAAATGTTGCTGATTTTTCAAAGAAGCTAACCTCTTTATTTCTATTCAGACAATTACCATCTTTGATGAATTTAATAGCTCTACAGATGCGTGATACGCAAAGGACATTGAACAATATTCCATCGAGTTTGGAGACCTTGACAAATCTGCAAGAACTTGATTTGTCGCAAAATAATTTACCTCGGGTACCAGACGCGCTTTATTCTTTGTTAAACTTGCGTCGCTTGAATCTAAGTGATAATCAAATAACTGAATTGTCAACAGCAATTGGTAAATTTATCGTGTTACACAATCTCTTGTCAGTGTATGCACGATCAACATCTAGAACTTCTATTTTTATTTCAGAGCTTTGGACAAAATTGGAAACATTAAATATCTGTCGTAATAAATTAACCACGATACCTGCCTCTCTCTGTAAAATCGTTACTCTCAGGAGATTATATTTAAATGATAATCAATTAGATTTTGATGGTATTCCTTCAGGCATTGGCAAACTATCGTCGTTGCAAGTATTTTCAGCAGCTAATAATCGTTTAGAAATGATACCCGAAGGTTTATGCAGGTATATTTATTAACTGTCCTTTTCTAATGCGTCTGTAAAACGAATTAATAGAAAGAAAACTAAGAACATAATTAAATCATATAAGAAAACTAAGAACATAATTTTTCATAAATATCGCGAGCATCGTAAATGTATGTATTTCTTTTTTTCAGATGTGGATCGTTAAAGAAATTAATACTATCCTCTAATCGACTGATTACCGTACCAGACGCTATACATCTTCTCAACGATCTGGAACAACTCGATTTGAGAGATAATCCGAATTTAGTAATGCCACCAAAACCAATGGAAGTTCAAAAAGGTTCTGGCATAGAATTTTATAACATTGATTTTTCTTTACAACATCAATTACGACTTGCTGGCGCCAACGTTCCTACGCCTGTTCAAACTTCTGGTAAGTCTATCTTTGCTGATAATATCTATAACGGTGATTTGTATTGAGCAATTATAAATATACCATGTCTACTTTTAGGTAGCAAGGATCCGATAGCTCGCAAAATGAGATTAAGAAGAAGACGAGACCAAGAAGAGGCTGATCAAGATCAAGCTAAGATATTAAAGGTATGTCATCAAAAAAAATAAACAAAAAAACAGAGAATCGTTCGAATCGTTTAATTTTCTGTCATTTTGTTCTTTAGGGTATGAAGGATATAGCAAAGGAAAAAAATAAAGACAAAGAATGTGAAGAATCGAAAGCAGAATCGTTAAAGTAGGCGCGAAATATGTATTGTGATAATTCATTGTTCTATTTGTTATTTGACGATTTATGAATCGCTTTTCTTTTTTTTATCTTGCTTCTTTCAAGACCCAAACGATGGGATGAAACTCTAGAAAAACCACCATTGGATTATTCTGAATTTTTTGACGAAGATGCTGGTCAGGTTCCTGGTTTATCTGTATGGGAGATAGAGAATTTTTTACCCAATGAAATAGAAGAGGTGGCACATGGAAAGTTTTACGAAGGTGATTGCTACATCGTTTTAAAAACCGAAATGGATGAAGCTGGTTCCCTAGTTTGGGCAATTTATTTCTGGATAGGGGAAAAAGCTACGGTGAGTTTGCTTTGAAAGAATTGACATTGTGCGCGGTACACGATGTAATATCAGGCAAACGAGTCTTCGTGAAATGTGTGTCACGTTTCTTAAGTCGATGTATTTTATAGTTGGACAAAAGAGCTTGTGCTGCGATTCATGCGGTAAACCTACGTAACTACTTGGGTGCACAGTGTCGTACTATTAGAGAAGAACAAGGCGAAGAATCCGATGAATTTCTAATGTTGTTCGAGTCTGGCATTACGTACATTGAAGGAGGTCGCACCTCGTCCGGTTTTTACACTGTCGAAGATACGGTTTGTATCACTGTATCAAATATATATTCTTACTTCACTTCTTTATTTTATTGCTGCTTAATTATTATATTGTTATTCGATTGTCGCTAGCAGCCATCGATAACACGATTGTATAGGGTACATGCTGCCGGTGCTTCGATCCATTTAGAACCGGTTCCTGTTCGTTTTGATTCTTTGGATCCGGGATTCGTGTTCGTCCTGGATACTGGCATCAAGATTTTCATATGGTATGGCAAAAAAGCGAAAAGTACGTTGAAGTCAAAAGCCAGATTAATGGCCGAGAAGATTAATAAAAACGAAAGGAAAAATAAAGCAGAAATTATAACGGAAATTATGAATACGGAATCGGACGATTTTTTGTTGTGTTTAAATGTCAAAGATGTTTCTCACGTGCCAACGATTACTGTAAGTTGAATTATTTTCATAAAATGACCACACCCTCGGAAATATACTCCATATAAATCTTGTTTTGATCATTTTCGTTGTAGGAACGTGAAGATGCAAATTTTATACCGCTTACGCCACGTCTGTATCAAGTACAACTTGGCATGGGTTATTTGGAATTGCCACAGATTGAAGTACCTCATGGGAAATTAATCAACACACTTTTAAACAATCGCAACGTTTACATATTGGATTGTCATGTAGATGTTTATGTTTGGTACATACTCAAAACGTCTAATGTAATTACGAAATCTGAACAACGTGAAATTACAATGTGTACATTTCAATTATTGTGTGTGTATGTGTGTGTATATGTGTAGGTTCGGTAAAAAATCTACGAGGTTAGTACGAGCAGCGGCTGTTAAACTTTCCCAAGAGCTGTTTAACATGATAGAACGACCAGAGTATGCAATGGTAACTAGGTTGCAAGAAGGAACTGAATCACAGGTATGATAAAATTTGACAAACATTGAGAAAGTTAAAGGGATTTGGTAGATTATATCAATTGAGAGAGAGAGAAAGTTTATAACGATACCTTCCTTTTTTCTATCTAGATCTTCAAATCAAAATTTGCTGGGTGGGACGAAGTTATAGCAGTTGATTTTACTAGAACTGCAGAGTCAGTCGCGAAAACTGGTGCAGATCTAACTAAATGGGCGAAACAACAAGAAACAAAGGTACATGAAATAAATAATTCGACAATAACGACACGAGCCTCCTCCCCCTCTTCCTCTTTCCCTTTCCCTTTCCCTACCTTATCACTTCAAACTAGTAAATTAGTTTTATTTTGACAGGCTGATCTAGCTGCGCTCTTCATGCCGAGACAACCGCCTATGTCGTTTACTGAAGCTCAACAATTAATGTCAGAATGGAACGATGATTTAGAGGCTATGGAAGCGTTAGTTTTAGAAGGAAAAAAATTTGTACGATTGCCAGAAGAAGAATTGGGACATTTTTACAGTGGTGATTGTTACGTGTTTTTATGTCGTTATTGGATGGTACGTAATAATTTATGTACTTTTTAATTGTATATGTTTGGGTAATTTACTTTAACACTCGTGATACGATATATTTTTGTATTTGATTGCATCACCTTAGCCATTAGATACGACAGAAAATGAGGATGGCGATGAGCAATTCGAAGAGGATTATCAGTGTACAGTGTATTTTTGGCAAGGTAGAGACGCCGGAAACATGGGATGGCTGACATTTACATTCAGGTGAAGCCAGGAAAATTATCATTTGATTTATTATTAATTATACACGAATAGTTAACACATCTATGTCCGGAAACTTAAAAATGCAGTTTTTATCGTAAAATATCGGATGTAACACCTTGGACGTAAATGTGTTAACGTTTTAATTAACGCAATTTAAAGTCCGAAATAGTTAGGGGCGTGAATAATCGTATCGATAGAATATTGACAGTAAGAATTTTATTTTTAGTTTACAGAAAAAATTTAAATCTTTATTTGGCGAAAATTTAGAAGTTGTTAGAACTCATCAACAACAAGAAAATTTAAAGTTCTTGGCTTACTTCAAAAGAAAATTTATTGTTCATCATGGTAAGCGTAAACAGCCTAAAGCTTCTGGTAGTAACAAAGTTGAATTTTACCACTTAAGAAGTAATGGAAGTGCATTGTGCACCAGACTGATACAAATACCGGCTGATTCTACGTTACTGAACTCTTCGTTTTGGTACGATCGTTGAGATAACTATTTTTCCTCCTTCTTTTCACTTTTCAATGAAAATTATTTATTTTACCGATACTTGTACTCAACTATATGTGAATATTTTATTCCGTAGTTATATTTTAAATGTTCCATTCAATAACGACGACGAAACAGGAATAGTATACGCCTGGATTGGTTCCAAAGCAGACAGTGAGGAAGCACGTTTAATTCAAGAAATCGCCGAAGAAATGTTTAATAATGTATGTTTGTCATATATTGCATGATATTTGTTTCAATTTGAAAAGCTATAATCTACAAATGAAATTAATAGCCATGGATAAGTTTACAAGTTTTAAACGAAGGTGAAGAGCCGGACAATTTCTTTTGGGTAGCTCTTGGTGGAAAAAAACCGTACGACACCGATGCAGAATATATGAATTATACGAGACTGTTCAGATGTTCAAACGAAAAAGGATATTTTACGATCAGCGAAAAATGCACTGATTTTTGTCAGGTATACGATAAATTTACTAACTTAGTTTATATTGGTAAGAATCAAGTTAAATGTCTGTAACAGACTTAAAATCAATTGATACTGTTTTAGGATGATTTAGCGGATGATGATATTATGATACTCGATAATGGCGAACAAGTATTTTTGTGGTTAGGCAGTCGATGTTCGGAAGTAGAAATTAAATTGGCATATAAGTCTGCTCAGGTAAAAATCTATCAGATAAATAGTAAAAATATTTAATTTTGGAAATTTTTGAATGAAAAGAAATAATTTTAAAGAACTATAAAATACATTTAATTGCGGTACTTGCGTCAAATTTTAGGTATATATCCAACATTTACGAGTAAAACAGCCAGACAGACCACGTAAATTGTACTTAACAGCGAAAGGAAAAGAATCTCGAAGATTTACCAAATGCTTTCATGGTTGGAGTTTGCACAAAAGACCACCTCAGTAAAATATTTAATGCAATATACAAAAAATTGTAAAATCTATGTTATTAATAGACTGCGAAATTTTTTGCATTTAAAAAAAATTGAAGTATGAAAAATGGATGCAAATGCAAATAATATGTAATAATATATAAAATATTTAAAATACAATGCTTCTTTTAAATGAGACAAATTAAATTTTTACTCCGATTTCATTTTTTAAATTAATTTCAGAAAAATATAATTTTATAAAATCACGCAAATAGTTATTAGTGGCTATTAACAATGCAAATTTGTTAAATTAATACGGACAGAAAAATGAAGCAACTTTCCAATATCAAAGAATATTGTGATTCTTGAAAATTTCATTAAAAACTCGGAACTTACTTTCTTATATTATGTTTATTTTCGAATTTATAGCAATTTATCTGAAGCAGTATTTACAAAGTATTTGCACGTTTGTAATACCTAGGTATATGCATTTGCTATATATATATTTAATGGGAATATTTTGAGACATGTACATACTTGCAAGTATGTACAAAATCTATTTGTTTTTTAACAAAGATTAGTAACAACATAGATACTGTTTGATTTTGTGTACGTTCAATTCTAAAAAATAGAATCAAAAACTGCATATAATTGATTTTATAGTAAGTCAGAACTGTATATGTAAAACGTGCTGTCCAAAGATCAGACACGTTACACCATTTTATATCTTCCCATAAATTGTCACAGATCTTGAAACAGAAAACGATATGTAAAAATGAAGCCTATTTTCCTCGCGAAAAAAGATTAAACAATAGCATCGTACGATATATAACTATCGAGGAACTAGGAAGAACGTGTTTATACAAAGATATTTTAAGGACACGTAAAAAGGTTGATTAAGGCCTTGTGTGAAAAGCATAAGTTAGGTAAACTAGGACTAGATTGGAGTTTTGCCTTCAAGTAAAGTGCGTACCGTAAATTAATCGTCGTCGTCGTCATCGTCCGAAGGTACAAATAGTTCTTTTTCTTCGAGAAAATTAGCTATCATTTTGCTTAAATTAGTTCCTATGATCAATCCTGTTACGACGCCGGAAATAACACGCAAAAAGCCGAAACGTATTCTTTTTGGTTCTGGTAGAATAGCACCCGAAGGTGTTGTTGTTCTTGGTCGAAAATGTAACTTCGTTTCTCCATCAATTCTCCTTAGATTTCTGATAGTTTGGAGTGCGATAGATGTACGTTGCAGTGCCATTTTTCAATTTCAATGATACTGAACAAGCACTGAAAATAGTAATACAAGTATACTATTTATGAAGTTATAAAAGAAATAATAATAATAATAATAATAATAATAATAATAACAACATCAACAAGAAATAACGCAATTATTGCATAGACAATAAATGAGAGTACACAACTGTAACGTTGTTCGTATATTGGTCCATAACAAAAATTTTCACCTACGGTTACAATTTTGCAAGTGTTATAAACTTTAGCGTTAATAAATAAAAATGAAACACTCTTAACCTCTTTGATGAATTCAAAATATCAACTGGAAAGCTCTTAATAAACACACACACGCACACAACTCCATACCCACACACACACCGTATTTTAATTAGATGTAGGCCCGATGAAATGTTGATAATAGAAGTAACGGCTCAAAACATGATCGCTGTCATAAATAACACGGACAATACAGCGAGCAGTTAAAGATCAGATGTTACTTTATTGTATGCGTTCACAGCACGCATGCGAATAATACAAAGTGTCACACCATGTTTGTTGAACTGATAGTGATAAATATAAAATCATTAACCGAATACGCAATGAGCCTGACGTTAAATGAGACTGTTTCAAAATATGAAATACCAATCTGAAAAAATCTGAATGTTTTTAACATCTACGATTTGCTATATAATAAATAGAGAAATTATGTACATTCAATTCAATCGTCGAAAGCGATAAAATCAGTAGCGTATAAGTTATTATATATAAAATGATCTTCATTTATTGAACTGTCAAAACAAAGTGTCGCATTATATATGTAACTGAGAACGGTAGATTACAGCTTGTCATTCAGTATGTCCGATTTAATGTAATAGTGGAATATATATATTTAATAACGAAAGTATTTACATACTCGTTATTTTTTTATAAATTGCCTTCCATAAAAAATGTAGAAAAAACTTACATGTGTCTTGTAAAAAGTTTTAGAAAAAAATGGTTTTAAAATTGAGTAAGTCAATAACTTAAAGCAGATCGTACAATCATTAAATGAATTTTTTAAAAATTGCCTCATGCTGCCATAGTTTGCAAAGTCATTTGAATCCGAAAAACGCTAATTTGCAACTTAACTTTAAAATTTCATGAAATCGTAACATGTATTGAATAATAGTTTTGACGTAATCTTTCGACGTGATAATTGGTGATAAAACTTCGTATACAGATAATCAGAAAATACAGGAACAATAAGAAATAGATAATAGATAAAGATCGACGTAGAAAATACGGTTTCGAATTATCACATACATATGTTTAATTTAATTAAATTTAATTATATTTTATTCACTTCTGATCCAAGTGAAATTATCGATCCATATTTTCGCCCGTTTCTGTCAATTCGCTTAAATACATGTTCAAAATATAAATACATACAAAGTATATACATACCTGATCCATTTTAAAATCTTGAAAAGAGACTAAATGTACATATATAATTTTCGTTGTTTTACTCAAGTAAAGGACATTGGATTTCTAAATATACAAATCTTTCGTATAAAAGTATCACTAATAATCATTTATTTTAATTTACAAGAAATTAAATCAATTCTAATTCTTGATAAAATCATCAAATGAACTTGTTCGTTACAATTATAATTACAAATGATTTTTTAGCTCTTAATTTTAATGGAAAAGGATTCAATTGATTAAGTTTGTTGTCACAATGGCAGCACATGTTACAATGTACATATTTTACATAGTACTTGGGGGAGGAGTCGATTAATAAAATAAAAATACTTGTTCTCTCTTTCTCATTAACCAGTAGCATTATTAATTAGATATCTATAAATATGCATATTCACAAAAAAGAACAAATTTCTTTCATAATAAATGTTATCGTTGTTTTTATTTTTCTCCTTTGAAAATTGTATTTTTCTTCGATCTATCTAGGTATTGTTAATAGAGAAAAACATCACAAAAAAAAGCATAAATATAAAAATATGTATTTTAAAAATTTCTGATGTTTTAAAAAGAAAGAAAGCACAAAGGAACTCAATGTAACGATTGTATTAATCAATCAAGACATTTAATCTTTCTTTTTTAATTTTCATTCTTATTTCTCTCTTTCACACATACACACACATGCACGCACGCGCAAACTCCTTCCCCCTCCTTCCCTCCTCCCTCTCTCTCATAATTTTCGATTGAAAGCTGTCGTTTAATTAACAAATCCTCATTGACAACAACTCTGACATTAATTGCTCTAGGAATATACTTTCAAAATAGTTTGTCCCGTTACATGTAAAATTAAATGCCAAATTATTAAATTCAATAAAACCAATAATAGTAAAATCTGACAAACCAATCTTATGGATAATACATGTGACCGTGTGAATGTGTGATTGCAAGTTGCACGAGTTTACATTATATTCACATTCTCATGCGAAATTCGCTGTGGTATCATTTTGTATACGGAAAGTTAAATGAAGAGTGAAGTGTTGCTTTCTCGAAAAACGTAATATTTACAAATGATTTACAGGGTATGTTACAGTCTTTTCTTTGGTAAAGATCCAAAAGCAGATATTACCGTTGCTTTGGTGCCAGTTGCAGATGATGTTAAAGTGGTAAGAGTTGGTTGAGATAACAGCACAGTTGGCTTTATCGAGGCAGTAGCTCCGGTTGCAACTTGATCCCATTTACTTTTTCTTTTTTTAGCATCGTCTTCCGTTGTATTCGAATTATTGGGCCGCTTAGCAGTACCAGAAACGATTTCGATTTTTGTTTTCTCCTTCCTAGCCTTTTCGAGTTTATCCATTTTTGCCTTCTGGACTTTGGCAAGCTCCTCGTAATAGGAATCTTTACCCCATTTAAACGGATCGAATCTATCTGGAGGATAATTAGTACCCAATTCATTGATGCTACAAAATTGAATGAGTTTTTCATAAATAGATGGATTTCTGAAATCCTTCCTTTGTTGTATGACTTTATTCATATCTAAACCGCCGCTCTCCATTTTCCTAAAAAGTTTTGTTATCTTTTCTTGTAGTTCCACGGGACATTGTCCTGGTGGCTCTGGTGGTATGATAACGCCATAGGGATCCACCTCGCTATCTGAAACTAACTGTTCTCCTTGACAAGAGGGAGAGCATTCCATAATCGAGGAGGGCCTTCCATTTTCAAAAGGCTGTCCGTCGATCTGTGTTTGTACCACTCCCTCGTCATCGGAGACTATTGTATCGTCAAAATATGAAACCAATCTCTGCACCTTAGATATCACATCTGTTACTAAGGTGGGCGCGTTCGACAAATCGTTACTAGACTTGCCACCGACGTTGGGAGCAACAACGGGACTATTTGAGGCTGATGTGCCAGATTTGGGACTGGTGAAAGCCTGGGGCTGACCGACTTGGGCATTATGCGGGGCGGCCCCCTGGGGAGTGTTCGAATTCTCCTGAAGGTCGTCTTCCACCCCGTCTTCGCCCTCCGAGTCGGTATAGGTGGCCGTGAGAGATGCCAGAGCAACACTTTGTACAGACATGGTTAGTTGGCTTTGAGTGTCCGCCGTACTACCAAGCAATATTTTGTGTTGGAACTCACCGGTCTAGCGTAGAGCTGTTTGCCTTTTAGCTGTGGGACATTTATGTATGTAAATATGCCTTATATATGAACATTAACTATGTCCCAATGTTTTGTTGGAATGTTTGTTACTATATCAAATCTGAAACAAGAATTTCAAATATGTATATAACTCATTGCACGATCGTTAGATTGTACTTTTAAGTAAATAATACATATATAAAATTCTATGAATTTATATACGTATGTATGCTAATTTCTTAGAAAGAAAAGAGAAAAAGGAAAAACAAGAAAAGATATGAGAGTGAGAGTGAGAGTGAGAGTGAGAGTGAGAGAGAGAGAGAGAGAGAGAGAGAGAGAGAGAAAGAGAGAGAGAGAGCAAAGGAGATGAAGGAGAAAAAGTAACAAATGTTTTGCATACGCGAATGTATTATTAAATGTATTAAACTCAAATAGCTCTATCGATACTTTTGTAATAACTTTGTAAATTATTATTTTACTTTCTAAAGGATACACTTCGAGTTAATTCCACCAACTGACAAGCGTGTTAGGTTATGTCATTAATGTTCGAAATTTTGTGCGATAGCCACAACTAACCTGACTATTCGAATCCACAAATTTTCTGCTTACACTATACCTGATTTTCTATTCATTACGCTAAACTTACGACGTCCTATCTTTCTGCCAATTGATATTTCCTTGATTGAAAAACTTGAACGTTATCAGTGCACACAGTCTTGAATCCTAACTTCTTCAACCTTTTTCACAAATCTTGCTAATGCGCACGCGCAAGTCAGTGAAATATATATACACCATACACATGCAGTGCTAATAACGAAAGATTAAAAAAAGATTTTGAACATAATTCTGAACTTTGATAGCTACGTACATAGCTCCTTTTGTTATTTATTCTCATTACGATGGTTCCTTTTTTGTTGTTTTTTTCCTTTTTTAATAAAATATAAATTACAAAGTTAAATTAACGTCATCAACTTTTATGGATCGTAATCGTGCGCATTGTCAATTCGCAATGCTTCAAGTCTTCTATTTTCAATGATTGCAAAATAAATTACATTTGCTGAAATTAATGAAATAAAAATTAACGTAACATTAGCTATCAAATATGTACGTACATCTTGCGATTATAAAAATCAGTTACTGTTAATTAATGTTTGTTTCTTATTCGTAATTTAACGATTTTATTCTTTTATATCTCTTATTTCGTTTATCAAATAATAAATGTTCATTTATCTGAAAAATTTAGTGAATATTCAGAGAGCATAATGTTCCGCATATTTGTATAAAAAATTTCATTATTCTCGCTCGATAGAGAACAATAATAAAATTATTTGACTTTGTTAAAAAAAGTGATTTTAATACGAGTGAAAAAAAAATATCTTGAATAAAATGTTATGTCAAGCATATTGTAAGAAATTATTTATTTAAATTTTATAGTTGTAGATTTAATTCGAATGATATACATATACATAGAGAGTGATACAAATAACCAATACGTCTGCAGTTAGGTAGCGTATGTATAGTGAGTGGTGGTGAATTAGAGGATAAGCTTTTTACTGACACATGCATACTTAGGTAGTGCAGCATATATTGAGTCCACGTGTAATTGAATGAAAATTCAAGAAAACATTCTATAACTTTACCGCTGTTAATCATGGTATTGGATTTAGATCTGTTTCGAAAAGACAAAGGATTTGATCCAGATAAAGTGCGAGAAAATCAGAAAAAACGGTTCAAAGATGTAAATTTGGTTGACACGGTGATCGAAAAGGATAAAATTTGGCGTCAGCTGCGACACAAAGCTGACAATTTAAATAAATTTAAAAATGTGTGCAGTAAAGAGATAGGAGAGAAAATGAAAAAAAAGGAAGCAGTCGACGGTGATGACAGTGTTTCAAAAGACATTCTTGAAAACCTGGAAAATTTATCGCCTAATAACCTGAAATCCTTAACTGTTGCACAAATAAAAACTGTTCGTAGTTTCATCGACGATGCTATTCGAACAAATGATAAAAATTTAGTCCTAACTGAATTGGAAAGAAATCGTGCCCTTAAAGAAATAGGAAACATATTGCACGAGTCTGTACCAATTAGCAATGACGAAGAGGAAAATAAAGTATAAAATTTGAAGCGATAAGCTTTCTGTTCCTTTCTTTTATCGTATATTATGAATTATATAAAAAATTATAGAAAAATTATTGCTTTTAATTGTAGGTGGAGAGAACATGCGGAGATTGTACGCAACGAAAGAAATACTCTCACGTTGATTTAATACATATGATAGATGGTATAGATGGAGAACGTGGCACTAGCGTTTCAGGTGGACGTGGTTATTTTTTAATAGGACCGGCAGTTTTTTTGCAGCATGCTTTAATTCAATTAGCTCTCAGGCAATTACAAGTAAAAGGTTACAAGCCACTTTACACTCCGTTCTTTATGCGTAAAGATGTTATGCAAGAAGTGGCGCAATTATCACAATTCGATGAAGAATTATACAAGGTATAGCATTGACAATTATATAAACGAATTGTACAAATATATAAACGATATTGATCCCCGTTAAAATTTTATTTATTTAGGTAACTGGTAAAGGTAGCGAGCGCAATGATGACAAGGAAATTGAAGAAAAATATTTGATTGCCACGTCTGAACAACCAATTGCTGCGTTTCATAGAAACGAATGGATCCCTGAAAATATTTTACCAATTAAATATGCAGGATTATCTACATGTTTTAGACAAGAAGTTGGATCTCATGGGCGTGATACCAGAGGCATTTTCAGAGTTCATCAGTTTGAAAAAGTAATTGATTTTTACATTTTTTTCTGTTTCTTTTAAGAGATACAAGTTGAACTCGTACACGAATAATAGGTGGAGCAATTCTGTTTAACATCACCGTATGACGATAAATCTTGGCGAATGATGGAAGAAATGATTTCAAATGCAGAAGAATTTTATAAAATTCTGGAAATTCCTTATCGCATAGTGAACATAGTATCGGGTGCATTGAACAATGCTGCTTCAAAGAAATTAGACTTGGAAGCGTGGTTTCCAGGATCGAATGCTTTTCGCGAACTTGTCTCGTGCAGCAATTGCTTGGATTATCAAGCAAGACGTTTACTCGTTAGGTAATAAGCTGGGCACAATAAATTATAGAAAATATTTTATTATTACTGTTGTTATCTCTAATTATTATTGTACATTGTTGTTATAAAACAAAATCAATATGTTCTAGATATGGTCAAACTAAAAAAATGAATGCTAATACAGATTATGTTCATATGTTAAACGCAACGATGTGTGCGGTTACTCGTGTTATATGTGCAATTTTGGAAGTACATCAAACTGATACCGGTATCAAAATACCAAAAGTTCTTGCACAATTCATGCCGGCAGAATATGAAAATGAAATTCCGTTCGTTAAACCGGCACCTATCGATGAAACAGATATGAAAAAACAAAAGAAGCAAAAAGAACGGAAAAATATCGTTACTTGAGTAATTGAAATGAATTTAGCCACAATTTAAATGCTATAAATCTCAAATTTAATGCTAATGAAAAATAAACTAGACTATCGCTAAGATTTTTTTAATTAATTATACAAAAACACACAACGTTCGCAAATTACTTATTTTAACAATATATATAATAGATATAAACAACATAATTCGTATGCCTATGATTATATAATTTTGGTATTCAGATGTATATTGTAGCAATTTGCATAATAAACACTCAACAGTAATATAATCAATATATAAATATTTAATCAAGTACTTTCCGTTACGTTCGTCTTTCCTGAGGATCTTTTTCTTTCTTCAGCTTTTTTTAAATTACTCAATACAGAGTGTTCAAATTGTTCAATATCCAACGTGGTTTGATTTACCTAACGTGTAATATTTATACTCAATGTGAAATGTGAAATACGTAATAGATGTCAGAGTAAAAAAATAAATATTGTTTGTTATTGTTTTCTACTATTCCCTAGACTTACCATATGCTTTGTACAAGTAATATCATTGCAAACAGTTCCTGTGGTACAAATATTTGATTTTTTCTCTTCTTTCCACAATTGTTGAAGCTTGAGCGGATTCTGTACTAAACCAACTTCACAACTTAGTGCCATTTCCTGGTAAAAATATATAATTTCAATAAATAAACAAATGAAGAGGAGAAATACATGTCTTTCTAATGTTAGAATGTTCTACTTACTGCGTCATTTCGTTTTTGATATTCTATTACTGCTCTGCCCTTTTTACTGGTAGAAATTACAAGGGCAATTATTTTTCCATACTGAAAAAGATTTGTATTAGTAAAGCGATTTCAAAAGATGCACTATGCTTATGGTATCCTGTTATGAAAACATTTTAAAAACCGTTTTAGTAATAAGTTCTACCTTTGAGAAAATTTGATGTAACGTATGATAATCATATTCATCGTTACTAGTTTGACTTTTACAAGATTTCCATTTTACTTTTAATCTGTAACAATCGCTATTAATTTCTGATTCACTGCAAAATGCATTTGATTGCTTTTCAAAGCGTTTTTTCATAAGTGCTATTTCTTCTTGCAGTTGTCTTGATCCCTCTTTTTGCAATCGTTCTATTTCAGCCTGCAATGATAAAACTGCACTGGTAATTGATACAAGATGGATAAACCTGATAGAAAAAATTGATACCTGTAATTTGTCTTTGTCGCTTTTAAAGTTAGAATCTGTATTCAAAGACTCTTTGTAAGCATTTTCTCGTGCTTCCAAATCTTCTTTTAACTTTTTACGTTTTGAATCAAATTCTTTAGCGCGTAATTTTGCTTGATATTTGGCATTAACAACTTTGTCATAAGCTGCCTTATTTTGTAAAAATAAAATGTGTTAACAATAGAAACAATAAGAAATTGGATACGTGAATAATCTTGTAGTTACCCGAGCAGATGTATCAGTGAGAATTTCCAATGCTCGTGACAACTTGTGAAATAATTCAGTTGCTTTTGGATTATTTGGATTTTTGTCAGGATGACAAGACAGAGCTTTCTTACGATATCCCTTCTTAATCTGGAATGATACGATACGTTAAACAAAAAATCATAATATCCGATAAACTCAAATTCAAAAAATTTTCTATTACATTGCCTCGTATAATATATAAAAACATAAAATGATATATAGGTTAATAACACGTAAAAAAATATAATACCTCTTGAGTGGAAGCTGTTCTTTCCACACCAATTAATTCATACAGATCTGAATCCATCCAGGAATCCATTTTTTTTCAAAATTCTATTTATACAATGTTTTATTTTGCCGAATATTCAATTTTTAAGCAGGTTAAGTTCATATCAATATTCAACCCAATGTTTGTTTCTCACAATAAAATATGATGTATAACTATTTTTACATGGCAAACAATCTTTATGTCAAATTTTGATTATTTATTTGTATAAAAATGTTTTTAATTTCTGTCAGAATAAAAATTATAAAAATTAATCGCCATCGTCAATTGTAACATCGCTGAATACTTTTCATCACTAAACGATACATACTTTCATACACCATAATGAAATAATCTGTTTCATATCATTAATAAGCTTACTGTTAGTTTAGTAAATATCGTGTATTCAATGAAAATGAAGGTTTGTCTTTTTCCCTCCTACTATCTTTATTCCTCCTTTTTTCTCCATTTATGCGCACGCGTGTTGTACACATTGTTACGTAAATTTTCAAATAAAAACGACACTTGATAATCATTGTGACAAAGCCTTGAATATTATCAAAAATGATTGTTCGTAAAAGAATGATTGAAAAAATTCTTTTTAAATATGGGAAACGAATATATTTTAAAGATGCGTTACTACGACAAGTAAGTATATAGAAAATATAATATATACTGTGGAAATGAAATGAAACGTAATCTTTCTTATTCCTCTAAATTAGACACAACGACAGTTTCATGATACAACTACCAATGCTAAAATTGATACCATTGGTACAAAAAATCCTTCGTTTTTAGGAATACAAGCTGTATTTACCGGTGAATTAAGAATTATTGACGAACAATGTTACGATCCTTTATCCATATTTAGAATTTTAAATTCGTCACATAAACATGTACAATTACCAGAGGATTTCAAGGTTTGCACAATTAATTTTTATTAATATTGTACGCGAATAGTTTTTTTTTGTCAATTTTTGAACCGTATGTTCTTCTTTTTCTATTTAAGTTAGACGAAAATATTTTGATTAAAATATATCGTAAAATGATAACGCTAAATATAATGGATAAAATCCTCTATGAATCTCAACGACAAGGACGTATATCGTTTTACATGACTAGTACAGGAGAAGAGGCAATACAGATTGGTTCTGCAGCTGCTGTTACATTGGAAGACGTTATATATGCTCAATATCGTGAAGCAGGTATAAATATTGACCCATTTAATTAATAATTCAAAGTGATTACGTATAGTTTATTATAAAATAATTTTGTAGGTGTTTTGTTATGGCGTGGACACTCTGTCGCAGACTTCATGAATCAATGTTATGGTAATTGCAAAGATGCTTCAAAGGGAAGGCAAATGCCTGTTCATTATGGATCAAAAAAATTGAATTATGTTACTATTTCGTCTCCTTTAACGACGCAACTACCTCAAGGTATTGCAGTTTCTTACTGCTTCAAACTATACGACAATTTTTTTCAATAACTCAACAGAACTCTTTAGCTGTAGGTACAGCTTATGCACTCAAGCAATCTAAAAAAAATGCATGTGCAATTTGTTACTTTGGTGAAGGAGCTGCTAGTGAAGGAGATGCTCATGCAGCTTTCAATTTCGCTGCTACTTTGGAGTGCCCAATCATTTTTATATGGTAACTGTTCGTTGGATAAAAAGGAATATATAAACATATGTGTATATATATTGAAAAAAAGAAGAAAGAGGAAAAAGGAAAAAGCGGTTTGACAGCATTTTCTGTTTTTTAGTCGAAATAATGGTTATGCAATCTCGACTCCTACTCGAGAACAGTTTAAAGGTGATGGGATTGCAGCGAGAGGACCAGCATACGGGATACCAACAATTCGTGTAGATGGTAACGACGTTCTTGCTATGTACTATGCAACAAAAGTTGCTCGTGAATTTTGTATTCGGAGCAAGAAACCCTTTTTAATCGAAGCTATGACTTATCGGTATACAAAAGCATATTTGTTTAGAATATTTCATGTTGAGTAGTTTTTTTTTTTTACTTGCTATATATTTTAGAATCGGTCATCATAGTACTTCCGATGACAGTACTGCATATCGATCCAGTGATGAAATAGCCTATTGGACTCGTTATATGCCAATAATTAGATATCGTAGTTACTTGGAATCGGTTGGTTTGTGGTCTGAGCAACGAGATATAGAGTTAAAGAAACGCATAAAAAATTCCGTTTTGCTTGCTTTTACGGAAGCAGAAAAGGAACATAAAGCATGCTGGAAAGAGCTATTTACAGATGTATATCGTACAATGCCAAAGCATATAAGGTTTTTTGTTTATTTTTTCATTAGAATGGCAATATATTGTTCTTTGAAATATTTTAAAAATGCATTTTTTTAATTTCAGTAAACAAATGTATTCTATGGAGAAACACGTTGTGGAGTTTCACAAACATTATCCCTTGCACTTTTTTAAACGAGCTTAATGATAACGAATTTAACAAATAAATTCAATAAAATTAAATAAATAATAATAGCACTTTAAATTAACTATATTTATAACTTTTTGTCGATATTATATATTTTTTATATTGTTTGATAATAAAACATTTATATGCATTCTAAAAATTCATGTTAGCAGCTATTTCTTTATACTTCTCCATCCTGTATTCTTTCCTAGCTGCATCGAGCAATATATTGTGAAGTAAATTATGCTGATGTGGATTAGATTGTTCTACAGTGGGATATATATTTCCTACAATTACAAATATATGTTGATTAATTTAAGTTGTAAATCTCTTTTAAATTCATGAATGATCTGTGATAAACACCTTTCAATTCTAAGATAGCTCTTTTGTATGCGTATCCGGGATATATACATGGTGCGTTATGAAGCTTTGTAAACGAAGTTGTATAATTTTGATATCTTGGTACAAGTACTTTGAAAAGTTTATGGACAAGTTGTTTTTCTTTTATCCAGAAATTTGCTAATTCCATTGTTTCTCCGTGTTCTGGACCGTGACGTAAAGCTTCTGATATTAACTATAATGCAGAGAAAATATTATAAAACATTATAACGTATAATATAATGCAATGCTCGTTGAGAATAGTTTACACAAACTCACTCGTTCAACATAACCTCTTGTTTCATCTGCTCTTGCGTAATTTAGCTCGATCCTCTCGTATTTAATTACAGCAGTTAATGTTTTTTTAATTTTTCGCAATCTCCCTTCTGGACCATCTACATTTTTTAATTTGCGTGGTTTTGATCCGACATTGTACCTTAATCTAGAAACTAATTTTTCAATCTTTGCCTGATTCATTTTTCTTAGTTGTGTTGGATGGTAGTTTCCACTTTTAATGCGTAATTTTTTAAAATTAATGTATTATTTGTTACTATAAAGGCTATTATGCAATTTTTGTTTAATCAATTTAATGATGAGTTTTATTCTGTTACTAAAAAATAGACATTGATACTTTGACTCGAAGCATTCGTTTACTTTAGGCCGTAGTCGTAGTGGTGTCGCTGTTAATCTAAATTTTACTTTGTAAAAAACTGGTGTTGACTTCAAAATTCACGAAAATTTGAAACTTAGTAAATTATTTATGAAATTTTTCGAATAAATATCAGTCCTTTTTATATACTGGAATAATTTTTTAAGAATAATTAATTTTTAATTAAATAATAATTTGTTAATTAATAATTAATGTATGATGATGTGTAATCAGTTCAAAGTGAAAAATAAACATAAGAATAAAGACAATTTCAACTTTTTGAAATCGTTAATATTTATATATGTTGTATATATAAAACAGAATTTATATATAAAAACGTATATAAAAGTTGATTTTGTAATATAGCAATACAAAAGAGCAATGAGAAGAAATACATATGTAATTTAAAGCTATAATTATAAATAATAAAATAAAACTATCATGTTTTCGAGGTTCAAGATATTAAATTTAATATTAGGTCTAAAATTAATAAATTTAAATTACATCTGTAATAAAATTTTTAATATAAAATGATAAGGAAAAGATAACAAGAAGAATGGGGAAGAACAAAAACGACGGTCAGGAGTCTTTTAAACGATTCAAACTGTTTCACTTCTATTGTATTTCTTACATTATGTATGATGCATAATGCGCAGTTAATTCAAACTGATGACTCGGTATATTGTAACTGATAAAAAAAGGTCACGCGAGATTACCAATTTCAATCAACTTATTTTCGACGAGTCTAAAACAAAAATAAGAGGATGCAATGTTTGTTACTAAATTTAATTAATTTAAACTTCAATCTTTTGAAAGAGATGCTTACAATGCTTACAAAATGCGTGATAGATGTACGAATTACGTACGCACCATTATTTTCACTCGTACTTTTAAATAAATATATTTGTAGAAAATGTTGGGGCATATTTTTATACAGAGTATATATTCACACATATTGTTTCATTGCATTTTTATTAATATAAAAGATATACATTTTATTTGAATTACAATGTAATTTATGATGTAAGTGTGCCAAATTCAAAATATCATGACAATATAGCGATTATATTTGTTCCTCTTTTGATTTTGTTGATATCATATATTTCACGGTTATTATATATTATATATTACTGTAGTTTTGTTAAGCTTTAAAAAATCGCACTACCCGCACTACATACTGTTTACATATTGGACATTCCGACATTTGTTTACCACAATTCAAACAGCAAGCCATATGGCCACATTCCAAAATCACACATTCAATTGGTTCGTCCCAACAAATCTTGCAAAGATTTTCGTCTAAATTTTCCATTTCTATTAATAACAAAGCGTAGTTAAACATATTTTCACTCGTATAAACTCGATTCAGAAATAGAGGAAAAACAAAATCGTATCTTACTTGTTCTTGACTGTCTGTATTCTTCCCATAATCTAGAAGCTCTATTCAATAATTCATATCTTTCTATACAACCTTTATAATCAACTCGATTTGTACTTAGCAAGTTCTTCAGTTGTTTCACACTTAAACGTTCCAGTTCTGACAATGCATTTATGTCAGATAATTTTACAGGATTCTATACAGAATGAAGGAAAAAAGCAGGTATATTATATAATATATACATGTGTACATTATTATGAGATAAAAATAAAAATAATAAAATATATAGTGTTACAATTACGTACCATAGAAGTTTCTACAAGTATATCAGAATGTTGAATATTAGAAATTTTTGAAATCTTCTTTCCATTCGAATGTATGGGATCTGCTCTTTCATCTGAATAAAGATTAATTCTAGAAACTGTCTCTGGAATTTCATTGTCACCAACTCTTGTAGCATTAATTTCTTGTACGCGATTTAAAATTTGCGCACTGTGTTCGTAATTTGTAGCTGACTGATTAGAAGAAGAATAATCACTGAAATCAAATGATTTAGTAAATACTTGTTATTCATTTCTTGTTAACAGTTGGCAATATCAGAGAAATCTGTTCCAAAAAATGAAAACTATTATATTAATATTTGCAACAAATATAATTCATATTACATGTTTTGAATTTAGAGTCAACAGAATAGTTTTTGTATCTTTTTGCTTCGTGCAAAACTTTCAAAGTGTTTGCTTCACTTTCTGTTATACATGTGTGTGTGTATGTGTGCAAAATGAAACTCACATGTTTCTTACATCGTCCGTATCCCAATAAACATTATTAGTACCATTAGCAAATGCTATCAACAATTTTATTAAATCTTCCTTTTCTGTAATCAGAAGAAAAAGAGAAAATAAGGATATTAATTAAATGTGTATATTGTCAGCACAATACTCTTGATGTAATATACATACCGATACATCCCTCGACGGATACTTTCTTTGCTAACAGATATTGCCGTATATCTTTAGAACGCATTTGTACAATTAGACTTCGTGTTAAAGGTCTTCGAGACAACATGTTACAACTGTCACAATTCAATATCTTGTCTAACCGCTTGATTACACATTCAGAACAAAAATGTCTTAAACAATCGACACATTGTTTCTAAAAGAATTTGCATAGTGTAATAAATAAACAAAGTATTTATTTTCAACACATTCTTAATAAAAAATAAAAAATTATAAATAATGCAACGATTATTACCTTGCGTGTGAAGAAGCTGAATTTTGCGTTACAAGCTTCACAAGCCATACTATCTTACTACAAGAATAATAAAATAATAAAACTAAAATTGAAAATTTAGAGGTTAAGTTTACACGGGTAGACGGAGTGTGTAAATAAATATACATATGTATGTATAAGTACAATTCGAGTGAGTATTTTCAAACATTATATTATTTCTACATATGTTGGTAGAAAAGTATATTTAAAGAGCAAAATCAAAATACACTGTAACGTGTTTCTATCTTCTATAATGTGTTTAAAAATGCTACAATTCCTCTATTAGGTTCATAACAAATTCATATAACGTACACAATAAAACATGGGAAAATTTAACGAGATTACATTAAAGATGGCGATAAAAGTGGAAACGTAATAAACATTTCATAAGTAGCAATACGAGAGTCATAGTAGATTGCTAAAATACGCAAGTACGTAATGTTCGTCACATCACATTTTGATATTAAAAGCATAATTTACAATGTAAGTACGTACGTACATGTATCATCAATACCAATTAATACTTTCGACTAGTTACAATTTAATGTTCACGTATTTCATTTATTTTTATTCTTTTTTATTCTTCTTATCACGCAACTTCTTACCATTTAACCTGTTACTAATCAGCAAATAGATATTCATACTACATAAAATACAAACAATCTCTGTTCTGCTCGTCGTACATATCTAATAAAACTATTACAATACATATCTATTAATTATTTTTACAACGTGAATCAATGTATATAGCAGTAAATACAGTAATACAAAATTTTTCACTCATTACGAAGATATATTATAACAAGATTGTGAGAGCGTTATATACCTTTTATATACGTTTTAGATAGATAGGTTCTGTAAGAAAACGAAGTTGATCGCACGCTGAAAATTTAATACACGTACGCTTCAATCTAGAAATAATACGGAAATTGAACGTGAGTACATACACATGTAGAAAAGATGACAAGAAATATAATAACATTATTACATATGTATATGTCGTACATATATGTATGTCGATGGAAAAGATGATAAGAAGTGTATGCGTATTCATTCGATACACATTATATCACGATTGTTGAGTAATGTTACGAGTAAGTTGAGTAATATTGATCGAAAATTATTTTTTTACTTTTATTATAACGTTTATTAAAACGATATAAACAACAAATAAATTATTAGACGTAATATGGCGATAAAAGATCGTGCATCTGTATATGTTGTAGGCACGCGGCATACGCCATAGAATGACGGCCGATAAAGCGTAAACTGCAATTACATATTTTATTCTTCAAGTCGAAAAAGGTTTTTGCATTTCTGGAGTTTAAGGCTTTAACAAGCCGATGATTAATGAAGATTAACTTTGATCAAACTTTCACGACAAGTAGGGAAAGATATTTGAAAAGATATCTTGTACGTAAGTACAAGATATGCGTAAATACATACGTAAATACTATGTATATACATATGTTAATTGGTTCGTTATTTCCTTCGATTTAGAATAATACAAATTACGTATCTAGACCTAATTTTGAGCGATTTTATTTACATTATTGTACGCTTCAAATTTTGAAAAAACTCAGTTTCACTTGTTGTTGTTCGATCCACTGATGGGATCGAAGAAAAATATCGATTTCTTTTTTGTTCTACCTCATCTGATTCAGTAGTTGTGACATCTTCGTGAAAGGCATCTTTTCTGAAAAAAAAATAAACAAAATGTTTCAGAAGCATACATAAGTGTGTATGTGCATATATATATATATATATATATATATATATATATATATATATATATATAATTATTTACATACGATATGAAACGGTCATTGAAATTGCAATTGTTTAGTAATACATTTACATACGTATATTTATTCTCTGACGAACGGAACAACGATTTTGGACAATCTTTGAAATAAGGCCAGCATTCTCCATGAAATTTTCCTCTGTTTTCAGCTTCAACGTATTCTTTTAAAAGATTCGAAAATGGTGATTTACTAGCACTGGAAATAAGATAATGTGTTTATCTATTATAGAACGTGTACAAAGTTTGAATTTTCTTTTCTTAGAATATCATATTCATTTCACACATGCACAAATATATATACAAGAAAGAGACAGTGGAATAAATAAAAAAAGAAAATGTAATATACATATATATATATATATATATATATGCAAGTAAGTATACATATGTATATGTACATACAATGTAACAATACACGAATAAGTAATAAGATGAAAAACTCCTTACGTGAAAAACAGTTTGAGCATTTCGCCAATTAATCCGAAATTGTTTAAAGGATGTCCCTGCACTTCGCAGATTGCCCTTAACAAACAGGCCTTTCCATTTAAACCGAAATTTGCGAGCATATCCTCGGCAGTGCTGTACAAAAGAGCTCTTTCACCTCCATAAAGTGCATTCTTTGGCAAATCTGCGATTGCTTCTCTCTTGTTAACTCCACGTTTCACAAATGTCGCGATAAATTCTGCAACGCTTGATCCTTGCTCCCTTGCAGTAGTATCGAACGTTGACGGTAAAACACCGTACGGATTCTCATTGTCCGTTAGGCCAAGTTTGTCGAAATCGACTGTAATTAAAAATAAAAGCGAAAAGAAAAAAGGAAAGGAAGAAAGATGGAAAAAGAAAAGATGTTAAAAAAATCGAGCAAAGATCGATATGTCGATGTGTCAGACGTAACGTAAAAAAAGAAGATGTAGATACCTACTCGTATGTAACATAAATCAAGATAAAAGATCAAATAACGATGTACTCACTGGTAAAGGGAAGACTAATAGTCATATTGCTTAGAAAACCATGGGGAGGGTATCTGACAAACGGTAATGCCAGTGTTGGAGTTATTGTCATAATCGTGCCTGGTGGCAAAGCTATTCGGCCATCGCTAGTTATCCAAAGTAGCCTTTTTTGTCGGTGGTGGTGAGAAAACAAGCGTCTATTATAGTCATTTCCCGTACCTTCGGTGTTTTCAGCGTTCGAAGACTTGAGAAATAAAATTAACCCAATCAATGCCAATATACTCCTTTTTCTTTCCATCTTTTCCTTTCTCTTCTTCGGATATATGTATACCTATATGCATACATACTACATACTATATACTACATACATGTTTACATATTACATACATACTTTATATACTATGTACATGGTTGATAATTTGTTCAAAAATTAGAACATTAACGGTTTGTACTTTGGTTTTCTTGATCGTAGCGCGTTAAAATGTTAAAAACAAAATGAAATATCGTAAAGGAAGGAAAGTACCAACAGCACAGTTTGAAGCATACGTTTTCGCATCGGTAGCTAGAAAATGCAGGAGTAAAAGCAGTTTGAATATAGTACTACTGTTGTATCACAGGCACAGAAAGGATCATGAATTAAGAAGATTCCCGTTAGCTGTGTAACATCGCTGTGAACACATAAACATGCTATGCCGTATCTTTGTATGCATGGTATGGTTTGTGGCATGGTGATACGCGTTGAACAGCAATGTAGGGCATCGTACAGCAATAGTCGCAATCACGCAGCAACCGCGAAACGTGTTCAGAGTATATTAACATCCCCGAAATCGTAACCGTAATCGTAGTCGTAATTGTCAAGAATCATTCAATATATATATATATATATATACATACATACATACATACATACATACATACATACGTGAATATATATATATGTGTGTCACTTTAAATTATCGTTGATAAACACTATACGCGTAACACCGCGTATGTATAATACATGTGTATGTGTATAGTGCAAAAACAATAGAGCGTACACATGTTTATTATTTTGTTTAACACGAATCAATTTTGATTTATCTGGAATCTACATATGTATGAATATGCATATATTCTATTTTAATTTTTTAGCTTATAAATAATCTCTATTGCAACCCTTGTGTCGACACTCGTGTACGCGCGTATACGTACAAGTACATATAAATGCATACGACGTATGCATGTATATATGTATATACATATATATTTATTTATTTATTTATTTATTTATTTATGTATAACGCATGTTTCTTGTTACACGATTGAGAGTTATGAATAAAAAGTTCAAAGGAAATAAAAAAATGGATCAACTAGCAATAAATGATACAATGTATCTATAATATAATACAATTCCGTGAGTATAACTTACACACACACACACACAACGTTTTATGCACATATGTATACGTATATACATATAGCTAAAGTCTCATTGATATTCCTCGATCAACGTCGATACGTGCATCGAAATCAAAATTAACGAAACTCGTTCGCTCGACAGCGAATCGAATCCTGCGATACCGAATTAAGCAATCACCTCGCATACGTTTTTCGTTTGCACCGTTAAGCCCTGTCGTAGATTTGGGTCGTAAGTAACAATGTGAGTTCTTTTCTCTACTTTCGTGTCTCTCTCTGTCCATTGATTTCTTTTTTAATTATTATACCATCTTTTATCATCGCTTTACAGATACATAATTAAAATAAAAATTAAATAATTGTTCTCTTATTTCCTCCATCCCTTGGATTCAATCACTAGTACCATTTTCTATTCTTTTCATTATTCTTTCATCATTCCTTCCACTTTTATTCTACTTTCTGATTCACGTATTCGCGATACTTTTCTATACATATACATATGCATGTATGTACTTTTCTCTCAACGTCTCGATTCAATATTATCTTTAACAAAGAACAATTTTCAATATTACGATTACACAATATTTTCCAATGTTTCCGATTTCTATTAAATTCTCTCTAATAAAATTACGGTTGTTTCAAAGAAAGTAAAATAGAAGAATACTGTAGATGTACAATATACACATATATAATCTAAAAGAAGCTAGAAAATTAAATAAAAGATGAAATGTAAGTATATGGGTGATGGATAACATTAGTCTGTAGTATAGCTAAAATTTTGGAAACATTGAGTTTAAAATTGTTTTTACCTAAACGAAAACTATATATAAGTGGATACGAGTAACTAGATTTATCATTCGTAACATTTGTGCAATTTGCAATTATTGTAATTGTAATATAAAACGAACAAAGGGAAAGGAAGATGCGAAGATACAGTCTTATTAGATTAGTTTTTCTAGAATTGAGAATCATGGCGTGACAAAAGGCTGAAATGAATGTAAAGCAGATGAAAGGAAACGTATACAAGGAAATGCATTTTTCTTCTTCGTATTTAAGTATTTGTCCGTTGTACGGTAGTAATTGTAGTAGTCGTGTAGTAGTTAGACAGATTAATTAATAATCTAATTTAACAAGGAATGACAAGGAAAAAGTTTGTTTGAGAAACGATAAAGAAGGAAATTTGAGCATTAAAAATTATTGATTACAATATACGTGTACGTATGTACATAAATACCTGTAATTTATGGTAGACACGTTGTTTGCTTCGTCAAGGTGCGTTGGTCATCAGAGAACGGTCGTTGTACTATAACTGGGATAATTTTGATGGGCACTGATTAACAGGGCTACAGCATAATAGTACAGTATACTAGACGACACCATAGATTCTTCGTTGTTCGCTGGATATCCAATATAGCTAGGTTTTTTTATTCCTCTAAACCAACTTTTCTTCTTTCTTAAATGTCTGTATGTGCCTCTTTCTTTAGATTGCAATACATTCACGTCGCTTGTCTATAGTAAATACATTTTACTGCATTTTATATATCCGAATCATATATGTATCATACATATAGATATATTATATAATTGTGGTATTAATTAAATATACTCGTATGTATTCAAGATATTATGTACCAATCTATTATTTCATTTATATTTTAGTATCGCTTCTGCCAACGCGTTCTTTTATCGAAATAATTAAGTTGGTTTGCGTACTGAATCGTCTATCGATATCGAGCAATACTTTGTTCGCGTGTTGTTTGTGTACTGTAGGAGACTACTGACTCTCGTTTCGAACTGACCGGTAATCTACTTGGCGCTTCTCATTTTACGAGTCGTGTTATCCTCCGTTACATTGCTTCCCACTCGCGTGTATTCACGTTTCGTAGTCTTGACTTTCATTCCCATAGTTTTATTATGCAATACCGAAATTGAACCTTCTTCATCTCTTTCGCCGAACATCATCTCTTTTGTCAGATGTTCGAATCTTCGTTCGAATACTTGTACACTTGCTTTTTTCCTTCTCTCATTTTGTTTTCGTTTCTTTTTTTATTTTCTTCGTGGTATTAACGTGCTATGTAATGAAAGTAGTTTTAATGAAGAAAAAAAAATATAAAAAAAAAGCTATACATTTTAAACTCTGAATAATGCCGCAACGCGTCTTAGACTGCAGTCTTCGTTAAAAAGTAAAAAAGAAATATTCAACTCGTATCAATGATAAAATTCACAACATACTTTATTACAAATTATCCAATTGAACAATATTGTTAAATCTAAATTGCTTGGAAAATCCACGTGAATATCCACCGGCGTGGATACATAGGGGTTGTCTCACGATCGGTCAGAACTATCTGGCCAAAATAATATAGATAATTGGAACAATTTTATGCGACGTACATATATATATCGTTATCTTTAATGAATCGAATCGAAAATTTTTCATGCTGATACACGTGCATAATATACATTCTAGTTTGTAGTACTTACTCATAGATGTACAAAAAAAAAAAAAAGAAAAAAAAACGCAAGGAAAAAAAACGAAACAAAATGAAATGTACACTATCATTGTAATTTAGTGTCAAAATAATATTACGTTGAAATAAAAATATTTTTTTAATTAGTATCTGATGAAATTATTGTAAAAGAACGCCTTTTGGTACTTTTTAAAAATTCTTTTATCCATTCGATTTAAAAGTAGATGGATAAGTATGTATGTACTAACTTACTATTAACGTACTATTGGTTCGCTTATTTCGAATCTAAAAGAAAATGAGCCCGTTAATAATATCTAGTAAAAATCGATGTGAAATCGTAAAAACTATACTCGTGTATGCATGTATATAAAATAAATGATAAATCACCAAAATGAATAAAATTTAACATAAAGGAGAATGAAATTTCAATTTGAATCGATAATATCGCAACTTTTGTTTTTAAATTAATAAATCTTTTCACCGGTGTACATATAAAAAGCATTTTTTCATTTATGCTTGTTCGTAAAAATTCGAACTGTAAAGAGATTTCCAACAAAATATTGAAAAGTTACGTTCGACAGGGGGAGAGAGAGAGAGAGAGAGAGAGAGAGAGAGAGAGAGAGAGAGAGAGAGAGAGAGAGAGAGAGAGAGAGAGAGAGAGCCGGAAAGAGAATAATCAAATGTAACTTATGTACATGTGTAGGTACGTATGATATGAAAGACAACAGCTGATTGAAGAGACCACACTCGAAATTCCAAATCATGTAAATTTTAAGGCGCATTATTTTATAAAATTTCCAAGTAAAATTAGAAGTAGACGTGTTTGTCTTTCTTCTGTCTTTCCTCTCTTTTTTTCTCCCTCAAGAAACAGATCACATAAAATTACAAAGTATTCGTAGAATACATTAGAATTCGAGAATCTTTATTACATTATCGTTACTAATAATCGTTTTTAATAAAATATTTCTCTTACTCGTTACGCATTACGAGAAACAAACAATGAAATTTCATTTCATTTGTCGAATGTACTTATACGCAATCTATTTATACATAATGTCAAAAATAAGGATTTAAAGATTTAAGAGCTGTGTATCGGATAATAACTGAAACTAGCAAATTCTCTTTATATATGTATCTGTGTATATAAAAACATGCCCTCGTGTAGTAAACACACAAAAATCATCTTTCATACTACTTTTCGAATCATCTAATACATCTTATACGTATGTTATTCGTTAATTCATTTTCGTCAACTAATTTTGCTTGGTATATAAGAGCATATGAAAATATTTAATCTGACCGAATATGCTTATTCGGGATTTAATATATGTATGTATGCAAGAGAATAATGTATAGATAGAATAATTAGAAATATTCTCTCTTTCTCTCCCCGTTCTTCAACTCTCCTCTACTTTCCTCTGTCATTTAATATTTCTCTTATGTACAAGAAATGACAATTTGAAAAAATTACTAAGTACTTTCTTTATATACGAACGCAAGATTTTATATTTAATGAACGCTTTTCTTCTAATCTACTTCTTTACTATTTCCTTTTTTTTCAATTTCTATATATTTCTAATCTTTAATTATACGCCTCAACTGATGTAATTTTTGTCTTTTTTTTTTTTCTATTTCTTTTCCTTCTTTTCTCTTTCTCTTTCTCTTTTCTTCTTTCTTTCTTCCTTTCGAGAGGAGAATTTATCAAAAAGAAAACGCGTGTTCTATGCTTTTACTTCATTTACGCATCTTAACGTTTTCGAAATGGTAAATATATTAATAATAAATTCGACGAATTCGGCGAATGTTTCGACGCTACTTTCGGTTATATTATCATTATCAGTATGCATTTAGAACATTTGAACAAGGCACGCTTATTGCTTTATAATTATGCGACTCAATAACGATTGCTACTCATACATGCATTCACCATTCATCACTTCTTCTGTTCCCCTCGTTTCTCTGATAGTGTAAACTATGAATGAATTAGGAACTATCAAGATATATCAGATAATTAATTTTACTTCGCATGCGTTATTTCAGCTCAGCCCATTTTTCATTTTGTTCGCTTTTGTTATATCCAAATAAGGGAACATAAAATAGAGCTGAGCTGTAATGCTACCGTACCATTCTAAAAACAGATGCTTTGACTATAAACAATGGAAACGAATAACAGCAACAATTTGATCGATATACACTTTCTACGTAGTTCTTTTTTTGTCAGTTTCGTCGTTTTCGCCGTTTTCGTCTTCGTCATCATCCTCGTCATTCTAACCCACGTCATTATCCATGTCATTCAGCGTGCGACCGAAGATTATCATTTTCGCAAGCTTACGTTTTCATCGGAGAGAGATCTATTCTTAAACTAATGTAAAGTATCTTCTTAATAGTTTTTTAATGTAACGGTCTCGCAACCGTTGATTATCGCCATTTAAAAATAAATTTGAAATATATTTTGTACATTAATGAACTTTGCTTCGTTTGAACACGATTTGGATCTAGCTCGCATATCGATGCAAACATACATGTACAAACTTATCTTATGACGCTTACAATTGCATCGATCCACGTTCGCGTCTACATTCACACCTTCTCGATATGCGCCACCAATTGATGCTGCAATACAAATTTCATAGGCACGTTTATCCAACATTTTCTATTCTATCTGTTTTTTCTTCCTCTTTCCTGCTTATTTTCTTTTCTTTTTTTTTTTTTTTTTTTTTTTTTTTTTTTTTTTATTCGTGATACATCCGTTTTTTCTTCTCTTTTCTCATTCCTTTACTCTAGTCCCTTTTCCTTCTCCTTATTTTTTTTTTTCTTATCTTTTTAACATTATATCAAACGCTCGAGCACACAACAAACACATTAATTAGCTACGTATTCGGCAAAGAAGACTTCTCTAAGTGAATTTATTTAAAGAACTTAATTATTCAAGATGTGTGTGTGTATATATATATATATAATTAACGGTTAAGTCTTTGGCGTTTGTACCAATGATTTTTCTATACACAATTTGTATTTCATGACGCTAATTTCCAAATAACGAACTTTTAAAAATTCGTGTTTTTGTGTAACGTACGTTGAATCATGTGGCTGTAATACATAAATCTATGTATATATACTTATCATCTATAAATTTATCTCTTAATAGGCACATGCGCTTATCATTCGATATTTGCATTTACTGTAATTAGTAAAGTGCTGTTCACGCGTTCCGTGTATCATTTTTTTTTTTTATTTGAAAAACATTTCTTTTTATATTCGCACAAGATAAACGGTTACTTGATATTATTAAATCTTATGGTATCGTTCGATTGTCCTAGGGAGAAAAGGGAGATGCATTAATTTTATGCAAACTCGTCACTATGAATACAAATCTCTTTTCGAGCAGTCTTATCTATCTAATATAAATGCGAATGTAAACGCCATAAAAATCACAACTGCCATAGATTACTGTATATTGTTTCAACAATAATAATGATAGAGAGAGAGAGAGAGAGAGAGAGAGTGTGAGAGAGAGAGAGAGAGAGAGAGAGAGAGAGAGAGAAAAGAGCTAATAGCTAAAGAAAGGATGTCTATTTGTATGTACAAATAATATATTGACTATTGATTACTACTGAATAACTTCGAAATATGAATAAAAAGCATGCATTAATGTCATATAATGAATTCAATTAATTAATATCAATAGACAAAGAAAGTGAAGTAACAATAAAATATGAAAAAACGTTCTTCTGTTACTGGAGTAGTTTTGCTGCAATGTGTTTAGCAAATTATTGTAGTGTAAACGTATACATATAAAAAATGTATTTGTTAACAGCAATGTTAACCAGTCTATTTTTTTTCTTTTTTTTTCTTTTTATCAAAAACAATAGGAACGCATAAATGTTCAAATTCTTATAGCGACGTGTCACTAATTTTTTTCTTTTTCTGTCATTTCTCCCTTTCTCTCTATGAATGTTAGAAGACACTCACGCATCTGTGATACATCAACATTATAAAGATTATAGAATTCTTTTGACAATTTATGATACACGAACAAAAACTTGAACGAAAACGTGAATCGATACGATCTGCTCTTGTAACAAAATCTTTCTTGCAACATAATATTTTGGCACTTGTTTGACCATCAATCTTACACTTGTCAATAGTGTATTAGAACATGCATATAGACAGAAATATAAACACCGAGACAAAAAGAATGCATCTTATTCAGGTGTGTCATTTTCGCGCAGTATAATATTCGATATTAATTTATATCGTATATTTTACTTTTTCAATAAAACGGCAGGATAGATTGCTTCGCTACTACATTAGTTCTCCATTCGGAAGAACTCTTGTTGCTGCTTCAAAGGAAACAACGAACACTAAAGAACAATAACAATACCGTTCTCAAGTGTTTATTTCGAGAGTTTTCGTTGTATGTCATTTCAAAATAATGCACCCATAAATCACGTGTTTTACGAAGATAATCACAATATCTGAAGAACACTGTCATATACACAATTATTTAATAGCTGTATGTATATACTTCTGATTGTTCGTCTTTCCAAAGTCTTTGATATTCTCCTTTCTTTATGCAAGTAGACATACGTAGAAAAATTAACGAAAGAAGTAAAATATTAGAAAGGATAATATATTGTAAATTGTAAAGGTTAAAAAAAAAGAAAAAAAAGAGAGAAAAAAAAATTATCAATTTCATAATGACGATACCAAGCGAAAAAAATTATTTTGCATTCTCCACAGGACAATGGAGAATCGAAGATTAAAAAACACCAATATAAACTACGAGAAACAGTGCTCTTGTTAAACTGGTACAGCCCCTTCACGTTCTTTTTCCTGTTGTCGTACAGCAACAGCTGCTTCAACTAGTAAGTAGAGACACTTAAACTTGTCTTTATCTTCCTCGGGAGGTGTTGGAGGTGGCGTCTCATCTGTATGAGGACTATGAGCGTTGCGTGTGCTATACACTTCTGTTTCATGCTGCACATCAGATGTTTGAATAAGATGCTGTCTAGGTGCACTCCAATATGCGGCTTCATTTCCCATAGAAGATTCATCATCATCTCTGAACAGGATAAAAAGAGGAAAAAATAAAAAAAACGGAAAAATTAAACTTCTTCAGTTTTAACAAGATAAAGATAACATGTGTCTTATAATAATAGTCTTGTTAGAATTATAAAGAACACTAAAAAAATGATGATAGAATCGTAATATGCCTACCCTCGACGCGCTGGATGGGTAATCGCTTCGTCATAAGCACCAAGTTGACCAACATTTTGTTCAACTTTAGTTTCTGAATAAGGGTACACTATTACGCTCGGCCATTGCGTCGATGGACGTTCCTCCTCGCTATGAGAACTGCTCTCATAATCATTTGGACTATCTTCTTCGCTTCTACAAAAAGAAATAAAAAGTAAAATGAAGCACAAAACATTTTATTTACAAAAAGAAAAAAGAAATTTTGTCGATCAGTGTATAATAATAAGAAAATGTTAATTGTAACCAACCGATACATTAATCCAGCAGGATCTTCGTAATCGTGGTCTCTGCTACGTTTCGGGGCACTCATGCCAGCTAACGAATCCCAGTTTTGATTGGATCTTGAACCAACAGCGGATGATTGTTGGTGACTTCCAGCAGGCATCTTTTTACCGCGACGAGATATTGTATACTGTAGAGGATCGTGACCTTCCCTTCGAATCATTTCCGGTAAAATTCGTCGTCTAGCGTTTATGAACCAATTGCAAACCTATAACGACGAAGATGTAACATACATGATTATAGATGGTGTACAAAAGAAAGAAAGAAAAGAAAGAAAGAAAGAAAGAAAGAAAGAAAGAAAGAAAGAAAGAAAGAAAGAAAAGAAAGAATGAATGAATGAATGAATGAAAATAAAATGGAGCAATAGAATATGTACCAACCTGGAGTACTGTCAAATTCGCTTCTTGACTCAACGTCAATTTCTCGCTGTCGCTTGGATATGCGTTGTATCTGTGCTCGTAAAGCCATCGTTTTAAAATTTTCACTGAATGCTTTGGTAAGTTTCCACGACGTTTTCTCACGGAATGCGTACTAGTATGATGAACTATCCCAGAATGGACTTTAGTGCGCAATGAGTTCGAATCGTGTTCCGTGTCAGAACCGCTTTGATCATCGTCGGTACTACTTGATGAAGGGAAACGTTCTCTCGCTGAAATAAAAATAAAAAAAATAAAAATCATTGAATTAACTTTACATGATTTTTTGCCGTACTTGATATTTTCGCGTTCATATGTTTTTACTATTTTTCTTTGGCTATTTTTATTTTTACACCTTTACATAAATATACAAACTGGACACAAATTACTGGACATAAAGTTATTAACTTTAAATTTGTACATGCATATTGTTTTTCGAGATAGCATTATTGCATACATATGTATATCAAAGTCGAATATATACATATATACATATATAGTATTAAAAACTATAAGTAGATGTGAAAAACAATAATTGGGATCCAATAAAGAAAAATATTCAATAAATAAGGAGAAAAATGTCTGTTGCGTTATTCTTCTAATTAAAACTTGTAGGCTCTACGTGGAATTGTTACAAACAAAAGAGACGAGCAAGTAGCTATTTCATTTGGTCGCATCTCCTATTGCATTGCTTTTCCTTTTGAGTACATATCTACTCATAGATAATGTAAAAAGCATCCTATTTGGATACATTAATATATCATAGTAATTTTTTCGTTTCTTTCGTAAATTTACACGCCCGGGAACTAAATCTGCGATCCTGGTCAGTTCGTAACGTCGACTAATCTTAGCGTCTGAATTTGTAGTTACGTAAGGTCCAGTAACCCGACAGCACAAAATTAGGATCCAAGCTCCTCACGGCTAAACTGTGACGACGTCGAGTGTCACGATGTCGGTAACAGCGTCGATGACAACGACATTAACAAGAATGATAGGAATAGAGTGTATGGCGTATAGTAACAAAACTATACTTCAAACATTATTGGTTTGATAGAACGGACGGGAGTAGTTAACCAAAAGAAAAAGTCAGCTAGCGACCTTAGTTTGGTTGGTACATGAAGCGACAGTTTCTTCGTCCATCGAGCTAAATATACAACGAGTTGCTAGCGAGTTTACAGATGCATCGTGTGATTTAATGGCGTACAACGCTATCCACATCTTTTCTTTAAACAATCAACTCGAAAAATCGATATAATTCAGTAATGTCTTAAAATAAATGATTTCAACCCAGTTGTTTTATGGAGAGGAATAGAGCATACAAACAAGTGCTCTTACATGTACATATACATATATACATGTACGCACACATCCATTTCAATAAAGCAAAATATGGAAAGTAGGAAAATTAAATATCATCATTATAATTCAATCTACGATAAATCTAAACGATGTATACCTATCAATGATAAAAATAACTATTATTATCATAAAACTAATAACAACAATAATAATAATAATAATAATAATATCTATTTACATTATAATATACTATATTTTATATTACCTTGAAATTTCTTGAGATTTCTTGAAATTTCAAAACACAATTTAAATGTAGATAATTTTTAATCATGTTTTGACATTTTTCATAATCATCATAAAAAATTGCAAATAAATTTAAATATAACAGACCAACAGCATAGAAATGTTACGAAAATAAATTCCATAAAATATTTTAATATCTGTTCACAAAGTTATATCGTAATAGTGACAGACGGTGACCCGTAACACGTTTGGAAATTTTCCAAAAGATCATCTTAGTAATAATAGTAGTAGTAATAGTAGTAGCAGTAGTAGCAGTAGTAGCAATAGTAGTAGTAGTACTAATAGTAACAGTAAATATTAATAATTAGTGTTTCTCTTACATTCGAAAATATTTTGCATATCATATACAACATCGTAGTTTTTTATTGTCTGCTTTTGGCCCTTAATTTTTTAATTAATTTTCTCTCCGTTTTGGTTTGATTATTTCGAGATTTGTAAAAGATACAATTTATTGAATTTTTCTTTTCTTTCTTCCTATTAAGGTTAAAAAGAAATTAGAGATTGTAAGAATTCAACTGTAACCTTAGTGATATAAACTTGCGTATACAATGTCCAGCATATTTTGCATTGAATGTACCACTTAAAACCATTAAAAACCTAAATAGGTCTCTTGTATTTCTACTATATTAACGAATATATAATATTGTATTACTTGTAGCTTGCTGTTCCAAATCTTATTCCAATTATGTAAAAGAGTATCATTAAATACAAATTACATGATACACAGTAATACAAAATTCACATCGTACATCTTAGAACTAACAAACATAATTGTAATCATTTTTGACAAAAATTCAAATAATTTCCAACATTGTGCCCCTATGTTTATCCAGCACGATATTTTCTCCAAAATAAATTATTAAAAATATTAAGTTCCTTCTTCCAAATTATTCGTGTTTGCTTCGCTGTTATTATATAATTATAATACATAATATGCGTAACATATTATGTATATACATATACTATTTTCTTACAAATCAAATAACAGTAAGAAACTGATAACTCATAACTGATTTGAGATTAAATGGTGCCATAGGGTTTATATAAATGCTTGCTCTATGTGTATATATATATAATGTACACATACGCTTGTCGTCTATCGCTGGAGGTCCTATCTAATATCACTTCACGTCTTAACAAACATTTAAAAAAAAAAAATTGAATATATGAAACGCTGCTAATGTAATAGCACGTGTATTTGTGCATACAATAAAATTTTTTAAATTTTTTCTTCCAATCATATAAAACATGAACGTGTAACTTGTTCATGGAGATTCAACCATAACGTTACTTTTTTCTAATAAAAAAATGAACACAATAAATTAATTGAATGTTAGCAATAATTATGAAACAAAAATCTTGGAATTCAAAATAGCAATTGAAAATTAACGCTTAATTAAAAATATGTTGATAGTTTCACCATGTTTCATAGGCATAGAGGGAATGAGTTAAGAAAAATAGAGGTAAACAGACAGACAGAGAGACAGACAGAATAAAGAAAAATGAAAGACGGAGGGAAAAAAGAAAGAGACAAGTACGAATGCTAGAATAATGCTACAATGTGTATTAATCCTGCAGCATGGTGGCGAACAATCAAATCAATTATTTACCTTTTACTTTTAATAAAATTAATCTTGGACAATGTCATGTTCAGTCAAACAACCGTACCATTTCATCGATGTATTGTATGTATGTATATTATAAGGATTAGAACAAAATAGAATTGAATCAAGTTACGTTATGTTTCTAAGGAAATTTAACAAATCCATAACGAATCGATGATTATTGTCACAACCTTACCTGTCACAAACATCTTTGTATGCTGTGTGGAGGAAGAATTATTATTGTGTGGTATAATCGATGACGATAAAGGTGATATTGTACGACGACCCTCTGTACTCCGTGAATTACGAGAATTACGCTGTGACTGTTGATCGGTTTGAGGGTTAAATTGATGTTTGTGCCGATGGTGACGATGATGATGGTGGTGGTGACGGTGATGATGATGGTGATGGTGATGACCGTTGCGATAATGACGACGATAACGATGATAACCTTGCTGCTTCTGTGGATGTCGAGGATGTTGATGCTGATCATCGTGATAATATTGGTTACGATACTGATGAAGATATTGTTGTGTACCTGTCATTCTTTCGGTACTCTCTTTTTGTTCCATGTGCATAGCGGCTGGTGGTAACATGATGTTCTTGTAATTACTATAAGATTTTAAGAAACTGGTACACGTTGTAAAAAAATATCTCTCGACACAATATTAAAATAATTTTGAGAATTTCAACGAAGAAATTTACCAAGATGCTCGATGTTCGAAATCTTCTTCATGCTTCGTTGTATGCTTTACTTTATATTATTTCTATAACCACGTTTGCACTGCAGATTAATTTTAGAATTTGCGATTAACGTACGTTTACTTTTGTCGTTAAGCCTCTCCTTTTTTCCTCCTCCTCCTCCTCCTCCTCCTCGTTGTCACTTATTTTTGTTCTTTGAATTTGTCACTTTTGCTTTCAATTTAAAGAAATAGTACAAAAGATTTTTGCTCCGTTTATAAAATTTATCACGGTTAAATCAGTGATGAATTTCAACGTTGAGATATCCAATCATCTTAAACACTGTTCATTTCCCTCCGTTGACTGATATTGTCGTTACATCGTTAATTGTTACAAAAAAACGGTCACAAGTTACGCGTTTCAACGTCTTTCACGTAACACAGCTATCTTGCCTGACGAAACTAGAAAAAAAGTTTTGTCTTCTTCGTCATTTTCAGACGTTGCACTGCGCTTTTCTCTTCTCGTCATTCTTCGATCTTCTTCGATAGGCTCAAAAATTAGTTCAGTTTTCTCGAAATTTCCGATTATAATACAATTCCCTGATTATCATTTTATTTGTTTCACTTTATTCGTTTCGATTGAGAAATGTTTCGTTCATGATATGGCCTGCCTACAAAGTTTTGGAGAGGCAATAACAACAAAAAATATGCAGGAACAAAACCGTGTGATCCTTTCCCTCTGAACTGAAAACACATCTAACTCAGTTCTGTGCGGCAACGTAACACTTATGTGTATTTATTTACGGTCACGAAAAAGCTGAAATAAATTTCGCGTTATTTGGATTCAATCGAAAAGAACCGATCAAACACAACTGCACGACGTCTACAACGCGACTGGACCAACCATGTCGGAAGCCGGCTTGACAGAGGCGGCTGACAAGAGACAAATCAAACATGAGAATGAGTGCATGTGCGCGTCTAGCAAAGAGAGAGAGATTTGCGCGCGCGTATCCACTTCCCGCTTCCCGCTTCTTGGCCTGTCAGCCATTAGACTCTCACTCTGTCCCAAGTCCTGGCCCCCTTCCTATTTGCGTCTTTCCCGCCATACAGACCTCGTAAGAATCCATCGAAAGCCGTTGCCCGGCGTGTTTTTAGTAACGACAGCGTGTGCGTTATCCCTATCCCTTCCAAAGCAGGTACAAGAACTTTATTGGCGGGAAACATATTCCAGTCCAGTTACATATATGTATGTACATCTATCTACTAGTAACATGACTGTATAACTGATTATTTCGTTAAGGCTCACTCTCCCCTCCCTCATTCCTTTTATCGTTCACGTATTAAAATGCCTTTGAATTTTTAGGCATCTGAAATCATGTTATTCGTACATGAAAGCACTAATATTTCTTTATCTTTCTCTATTTCTATCGATATTCTTAATATACATAATACATAAAATATACATGTACTTACACCCAAGTACTTACTACCTGGCCCTATTTTCATTACACATTATATATCAGTTATAAGAAAAACGTAATTTTAATATTTAATTTCAACTGCAAATGATTTATCGGACTTTTTATATCTCTTTTTTTTAGATTCTTTCTCGGACTCAATTTCACAGGACTTACTTTATTTATCTCATACCTTTTTTTTTACGATATATCGTACTAATGCATATTCCAAGATAAGAGAGAAGCAAAAAATGGAAAAAGGAAGAAAGAGAAGAAAATTTTACATGTTTATCGCACATTACAAAAAAGCGTGTTATTCATTGAACGTACGCGTAAAAAGGTAGAGATACGAGAGAAGATAATACGAGATAAGGTTACAAGATAGAATATAATCTAAGAACAGAAAAAGCACAAATCGTTTGCACGTGCAACCAGTCGAAACGCTAGTCGTTATTTCGATACGTTTTCAAGATCCAAATGTCTTCTATTTTCCATCGTCCAAATGTAAAAAAAAAAAAAAAAATCCCTTCTCCCTTATGTAAAATAAAGAAATTTCTCATTATCTCGCAAAAACAAATAACACAGAATATTTTTATGCCAAGCATAAAATAACACATGATTTTCCTTTATGCGCTGTACTAAACGTATTTTTGTAACGTATTTGTGTATGTCCATTTAAGTGAATATTAAGAAAGTCACAAAAATTACGTGGATAATGAGCGCAAACGATTTACCTATGTATAGTATATTACGTGCATCTATTTTTTTCGAAATAGAATATATCTAGATTTCTTCGAAAACTTTTGATACTTCCTTTTCATAGTACGTACAGAAATTCGCTTTCACAATGTTCAAATAAAAATTTATTGAAACTATCTCCGAATTTTCATAAAAGTGTATTTTTATCTTATCAACTCAACCCTTACGTGACCATTTCAATCGATGATATTTCTAATGCCTGTTATCGTATCCCTAGTTTTTTTTTCCTCTGTTACTCATTTGGTAACAAATTTACCCGTTTATCATGAATATTTTTGCTCTTGAATAACTGAAAAATTTATACATGGCGTGTCTGTTACTATTTTCTTTCGAATAAACTTTTTAACATGCTTATTCATACTTATATATACGTACGTACACGTGAAATACGTCAATAGATTTTCACTCTATCCAAACCAAATTGCGCAACAGGCGATACGTTTGATCGTAATCGTTACAAAAACTGTTTAGTACCTCGAATCTAATTACTTTGCGAGACTTTGTTAGTTTCTTTAAATGGTTTAAACGAATTATGTTGGATCATATACGTAACTATCAATAAATTTGTACCTCACATTATCTAACTAATCATTAACGCAAGTCAGATAAATCGAAGGAAACTGCTGACTTTGTAGATATCTTCATATAAATGTAATGAAAAAATCACAAAATAGTTATTCATTTCAAAATTTCGGGTGTATCCTTTGAACTAAAAGAATTAAAAGGAAAGGAAGAAAGAAAAATTTTTTTATTCTAATGTTTGCATTTAAGAGAAACGAATACCACATATCAAGATAATATATACAATTACGTTGCATATATATGTACATACGTACACATGGAAACCTATCTAGAAAATCTATTTAAAACATCGTTTCTCGGACAACAAATCGATCAAGCAACGGGATCATCACTTTCTTTCGAATTCGCGAGTTTGTCGGAAGAAAAAAAGAAAAGAAAGAAAAAGGAAAAGAGAAAAATGAATAAGAAAAAAAGAAAGAAAACTTCAAATCGATGTATCGGTTGTTAACATCGATTAAATGGAACGTACAGACGTTCATCGAACAAAGTTTTTAGAAAGATGTTTTGAGAGTATACATACATACAATACGATAAAATACAATATGTATGTTATACAGGCGAGCTTCAAACTTTCGAAGCGCAAAGGAACATCGATTCAAGAGGAGAGACGAACATTCTTCATAGGTCAGCGGGCATAGAACGATTTTAGATACGGCCTTTGAGCTGCTTGTGCTTTGCGCCGTAGCATGTCTTCTCAACTATTTCGTTCTAATAATCATTCGATGTTCAGATATCATGTATCTTATTATTTCAATAGATTCAGATTATTTCAATAGATTACGCATGTGAGAAAAACCTTTGATTTCGTGTTTGATTTACATTTGCATGCCGCGATAATAATGCACAATTTTGCAAAACAAAATTTAAGTCTTATTGACGTTTAACATCGAAGTCTTATTGATATTGAACGAAACAACCATTAACTTTCTCTCTCTCTCTCCCCTTTCCTCCTCCCCCTTCACCCCCCCCCTCCCCCCTCTATTATCAACAAAGATCGAGATTATTCAAATCGAAGAAATTTTACTTCACAATATCGTATTTCAGTTACGATAGCCTCCATGCTCTCACGACATTTGACACGATAACCTCGAACACTGTATATATGTATTGTATGAACGTAAAATCTAATGCATGGAGGGACTAAAAATTACGATACTGATAACAGATAATAAATTAGTTAAATTGTTGTTGTGAATGATTTCGTTAAACCAATTATATATAAAATTGATCCTATCGTATGCAAAAACTAAACAGACAACAAAACAACAAACGCGGATATTTACAAATTTATTATCATTTAACATAAGCAGATATCTCCTTTTGTGAAATCGTTGATCAAAAAACGTGTATTATAAAATAAATAAAGCACTTTCATTTTCGATCAATGACATTCAAAGATTTAAAGAAATCTGACATCACATCTGAATATTTCGTAACATTCTAATAAAATAAAACGATACTTTGATAATTATACTTTGATGATTGATAAAAACAGGTATCAAAAACTCTCGGAACACATGAAAAAGAATCAAAACGAAATAATTAACGTGAATGGCTGCACTACTATCGGTTATATAACAAGGCAAAGATACGATGACACGAAATAACAGTAACAAGCTCAACTTATAAAATACTTTCTGCATTATTCTTAACGTACTCCGCCTTTTTTTTCTACATCCCCTTGTAAATTTGATTGACAATTCAATTACAAAATATACCATGAAAACGTAATATTAAATTATATATAATTGATAGAATATTGTGATATAATTTGATAGAATATTCATCAAATACAATATAATATAACGTATGATATAACATAAAAAAATAAGAAGAAATTTGCCACCAGATATGCGATAACGACAACTGTGTCGAACAAGGTCGATACTTGAGAACAACAAAATCGATGTGTAAAAAAAGTTTGTTCTGTATATGTATAGATGTTTGTTCTGCGCGCGAGTATGGGAAACTATTTATCTTTTAAAAGTACTTAAGTTAAATTTAAATTCATCAAATATATGTATTATATGCTCCTTCTTTTTAAATTAAATTAATGGAAAAAAAAGAAATACAATAATTGCTTCCATAAGATTTCGTATTGCTTGTTACCCATACTATTAGGTACTACTGGTACTACTATTATTACTATTATTAGACGTGTTACACAATACTCTCGCGTCTTCTTAAACGAGTTTCACTGGCCAATGACCAAAGCTAGATAACGTCGTGTATCGCGACCCATTTACCGACTTGCTAATCTCGAACTCAAATCCGAACTTGATTTTGTTAAACTTCTATTACTTTAACATTTTTATTACTCTTGTCATGTTCTCAAATATTATAAAGATATATAATTATAATTACTTTGCAGCATCATTCACTGAAGAAAGAAAACCTTTCACACATACCTATCTACCCACCAATTTACTATCCAATACCCAATCTACTATTTATTGCTATTTGCTGAAATTAGCATTTCTAAATCATCTCTTTGTACAAAATTTTTTCGTAATGCTGTTAAGTACGTTAAACATGTTATAAAAGAACATATTGCGATGAAACACAATTTGTAATTTCAAAAATCAAGTACGAATTTGCATATTTCTACAATATTAAACGTGCCTATACGTGCTTATACGTGTATGTTATATAACACAGCAGACATCATTGAAAACATTCAACTTGCAAAGAATCTGACAATGCATCATTCTCGATTGGAAATATTGCAAATATATATTTTGTAAATTGAAAATTATTATATTCTCCTGTACACAGGAATAAAAATAACAAAACGAAAAACGGATTAATGTACATACATATAAACTAAGATTGATTGAAATATTAGTTGTTTGTATATCAAGATCATTTTACACAGGATCATATGAGGCAGGGTGCCATATATATATATACATATGTATGCATGATGTGTGTATGTATGTATATGCCTATCATGTGTGTATCATGTACCACGTGCATATATATATGCATATACGTACACGTGTAGAATTTTGAAAATATATTGAAAATAAATATAAATCTCAATTGATGAACTTGATTTAAACTACAAATTATAAATGAAATTGCAAATTAATCCGATTTAATTGAATGTGAATATAATTACATATTCGATACCAATTATTGTTTGAAAGAAATGTCTCTCTGCCTGAAATTATACGTATACACGTACGTATGTATTAATTTATCGAATAAATTACACAAGTTTCATTACGTCTTTCATTATGTCTGGAAACTTGTGATAAAAGCAGATAGAAAGTTCATATTGAAAATATAAAGGCATAAAGAAGACGAAGCAATTGGTGATCAGAAGTCGCAAGTAGCATCAAGCGCGTAAACATAATCGTATACATACTATGTATAGGTGCGCGTGCACGCAAAGCGAGTGAATAGGCAGGCAGGCAGGCAGGCAGGCAGGCAAGCGGACAAGCATGGAAGGCACGACGGAAAAAGCAGAATGACAGTTGGTAATTATAACGAAGAGCGGATTCCGTGGGACAAGACTGGTGAACCCCGTAGAAGTAACGAAGTCCGCGCCGTGGCGCGCCACCACGTGCCTAACTAGCTAGCTGGTTCGCTGACTGCATGTTAGCTCGGCAGCCACGCGTTATATAGCATTGTAGATGATGGCGTCTCGTAATCGCAATTTTCGACATAATGCGAATGACGAATTTCGTTCGCAAGCAACTGATACTTTTAAAACGAAAGTATGAATTCACTGCTGAATGATTGCTTCACGAGCCTAGCGAATAATGATTTGATTCACACTCACCAATGCGATGATCCATAATGAAAAAATTGAGGTAGGCACAATGTATTCGCGGTTTGGTAACGTCCTCGTGGTTTCACTTGAGGTAATTGTTTGATACTCGATCAACTGTCAAATAAAGAAAGAAATGGCATGATCAGAGGTAGAAAATACGTTGTTTAAATACTATCAGGAGTCGTGTCATATTTATAACGTAATAAACGAATAAACTAAGAAAAAAATGTACAAAGTCTAACCAATAATTCGTGGGGACGCGTGCACTAACACGACGAAAATATTGCATGATCGTGCAACGCGAGCTAACTCGATTTTTGCCGGTCATCGAGTTTCAGAACACGAGTGATGAATGACAAACAACACCGAAAGATATGCCATGTCCATATCGTTGAACAGTTAACACGCGGCGTGTCTTGCGATTTCTTTCCCTCTCACGTTTTCTTCTTCACCCAACTGATCTGTCGTTCGACAACTCACCGGTTTATCTCTCTGTAGTTTTTCTGCGTTTCTTTCGGTCACGTCGTCCTTTTCTGGCCGTATTACTTCTCGTTATGATTAATTTTTCGTTCTCTGTGACAGATAAACACTACGAATGCGGCGGGTTCTCGCAGCGTGTGCGCCAGCGTCAGTAAGATTGACAGTCGGCGCTGATGACAGACAGGTGCGCCCGCCTTCCGGCCTAACAAGTCGGCAACCTACCGTCCTGCTTACGTATCTTTCTGTGTTCGTTCGCATGCCCGTCTGCCCGCGTACCCGTCTACCCATCTAGATACTTGCTAAAAGCCTTTGCACGTTATACCATTCATCCACTCTCGTTTAACATCTTCCTGCCATCTAGCGACGCTTTACCCGAAACATCTATGTATATGCTGTATTATTCCTCACGGCATCTTTCTCTTCGCTCAATTCGCTTTCATGTTCAATTGTAAATTGATCGTAATGTCATTTTCAACTTTTCTCTTCCCTCCCATTTTTCTTTCGTATCGACTCAATTGCATCTTGAAATTAATATATAATTCTTTCTTTTTTTATTCACTATTGCTAATACAATTTTTTTTTTTTTGCTAAATTTAAAGAAAAAGAAAGGGAAAGAAATAACAAATATTGCTTTGTCATTATTACATTACTATATTCATTTGCATTAAATTCAATGTACTTAGTAATACAATTTGACAAACACTGGCAAGTCATGAGATAACAATATTGGAATGTATGTAAGGTAGGAGAAAGAATGGAAAAATAAACCATACATTCTTTTGATTCGTCATCATGTGAACTGTTTATACAATTTGATGTTTTATACAATTTAACTTATTCCATTGACTACTTCAGAGATAAAAGTATGCTGCTTTAAATATATTCTAAAGCGTAGAGATAAATGGTGCCTTTTCATACTTTCTTTCTCCAGCTTTGACTTGACGATGGAATTCTGAAACCAATATTTCACGTCTGTGTCTTCTTTTTTCTTGAAAAAGACATTCTTCAAAATCATGAATCAGTGGTTTACACTTTTGTATCGCTTTGTGAAATCCATATGCATCAATGCATTTAGCTATGTTTAGTTCAAAATCTCTACACTCAGCATGATACTGAGTATGAGCCAGAACTGAAGCCTTTTCATTTAAAGGGCTATTTATTGCTACTTTGTGAGGCGTGAATTTATACAAATCACTGTCAATGTCATGCATGATTCTAAAATTTATAAATAATATATTATTATTAAATTTAAAAGCACAGAAAAATATTAGTACTTGAATAATTAACATTAAAATTAAAATAGATGTTGCATTTTCATTAATATAACCTCTGTATAATACCTCTTTTTATATTTTATTTATTTTTATATTATGATATGAACACGTAGATACGAATAATATCTAATATATTACCTAATAAAATATTTAATGCGTACGCGTGTATAAGAAACCAATTCTACTCAAATAAATCGTTGAATTTCAAAATACGTCTATTCTCTTCGATTCTCTGTTGTGTAACCAGTAACCAGCGATATTGCTACAATTTCACTAGCATCGCTATCTATTGTAAGATGTAAATGAAGTTAATTTGTTAAATAAATAAGATTATTTTTCATGTGTGTGTATTATACTTTTTGTCAAGTAAATTTGACAGAATGTCAAAAAGCTGTAAAAATTATGAAATGAATGGTGTAAAAAAACTATGCAGATGATCTTGACTGCAGATGAATTGATCTTACTGCAGATAATCAAAAACTATGAATTTTTTTTTTTATAATTGTGACTTCGACGGATTGAGATAAAAATTCCAAATTTTAATTTTATAAATTCATTGGTTCAAAGGCCATACAGAACAGCTATAAAATTAAGTGTTTCAGCGTATTTGACAGGTTAGTATGACGCCATATTGGCTTCTCTATCCGATTGGTCCATACAGATTTTCTTAGATAAACAATATTTATGAAAAGGATTTTTGGTGATTCAAAAATTAAGATCCAAAATATTATTCGAATTGGCATGGATTTGCGGTCGATTAAAATATATCTATTCCAAAACGCAGTTTATAAAATATGTAATATCTTTGAACCAATAAATTCTTAAAGATAAAACGTGTATTTTTAGTCTTGGCTTGTCAAAATCTATCAGATTATGAATTATTACAGACTAAACAGCAAGTTTTTTTGTCATAAGATACTAATCAGATCTTCGGTTTGGCTTAGAATTAGATTTATGTTATATTTGGATTGGACAATTGTTCAAGTTACTTCAAAGATATGTTCAATCTTAAATTTCACACTTTTCAATTATGATAAAGAGGGTTTATAATTGTCTACAACACTACATTTTAGCAGAATATTTTACCCCTTTTAGATAATTTCTACCAACATAGGAAAATTTGAACAAAATCCGAGGTATCCACTAAATAAATAAATATCGTATTTTATTTCACCATTTTTATTTATTCAAAATGTCTCTGTTACCAAAATAGTTCAGAAGTTCCTTTGTCAGAAATATACTGGAAACATATTTTGTGTATAAATACTGTTTTTTGTCTATCAGTTACAATAAAAAGTCGCTTATCTCTTTTTCTAGATGTGCGATTTGCGACTTTTTTTTAATTGCATTGGAAATGAAATTAGGCAGAATGTTATCTATTTGTTTTGAATTTAGAAAAATTAGTCTGCAACCATAACATAGATATTTTTCAATTATCGATTGCTTCAGAATAGATTTATGAATGTCATTCTGACATTGATGTTTCTCTTCTTTTGAAGCATTTATGCTTTTAATTTGTTCATTACTTGATAGTTCATGAATATTTAGTGAATTTGTAGCCATATTTAATGAAGTGTCTGCAACTGTAGAAACTAATTTAGAAAACAACTTTGCCTGTGCAACAGATGGTTGTTCCTTTGATAAATAAGAGGAATCTGATGTTAATTCACAAAGTACACAGATATTATTGTCACTGTTAACGTTATCATCGATTTTTGTGTTGCTGTTCTCACATTCCATTCTTTTTGCGGCTAATTTTTCACTAGTACGATATATCGTGGGTACAGTGCTATGAAATTCGGAGTCTAATTTATAAACAAAATTTCTTGTAACATTTCGTATGGATGCAGGAAAAGAAGAATTATATTTGTCACAATTAAAAATTGGATGTAGATTATAACACTCCAAATATCCAGTTATATCATCGCGTGTAAAATCTCTAAGTGGCCGAAGTAGTGTTACATCCTTGTATCTCGTATCAGAAAATGCAACATTGAAAGGCAACTGAGAACCTCTTCCAGTCGATACATTGCCAAGAACTTTTACCGCAAGATCAACAGATGCATCAGCAATGAAAATTTTATTGCAATTAAGTTTACGAGCTGCGGATACAAGTAATTTTAGTCTTAATTGTTGCAGTAATTCATCTTTGGCTGTATCATTTTCCAAATTATCAAATATTTCCTGTACTATTGTATTCTCACTAGTCATGTTCATTAATGGGGCATTTGCTAGCTGCATCTCTTCACAGATACTATCAGTTACACAATTTGACAAAGGTAGAATATACATAGTTAACTGCAAATTTTCAGCTTCTTTGGCTAATGCGCTTTGAATAGATTCTCTTTCTTTGATAGAACGTCCTTTCACTATACCATCTGCATAAATAAAACAAAGAATATTAAAATATAAAAAGCGTACAACTTATTTTTTTGTTTTTCTTTTCAGAGCTAGAAATATTTACCATCTATGTAAAGAACTTTAAACGAAAATTGAAGTTTTTTGGAAATTGATTCATTCATATCAGTTGTAATAAGATGCAAAAGTAAAGTTGAATTTGCTTTCCCAGAATGAGCAACAAGTATAGAGTCATTTGTATGCACTGATTTAGATTTACTTAAAGTTGCTCGAAATTTATGCCTCAGTATTATTAAAAAGCATCTTTTACAATACTCATTTTTATTTTTCAAAAAAACTTGAGCCTCTTGATTACCACATTTTTTACAAAAAGGCACAGCATCGTGTGCTTCTATGGTATCAGCAGGAAAGGAAGTAGTTCTACAAATAATAATAAATGAAGTAATCAAATATTATTATAAACTATAAGATTATAAGAAATATATACACAATAGAACACTCACGCGATTTTTTCTATCTCAAACGTATCGTATTCAGATAAGTTTAATGTGCACATTTTATGGTTTTCTGTCAATCCCAATTTTATAGATAACCAATTCTAACCACTTGCGTTGTTAAATAAAAATTATAATTTTTAATTCTTTTCTTTCTGAGGACGACAAAAATTCACAAATATTGCAAGTTAAAAAAGAAAATTTAGAAAAAATTTTATTAGTTTTTCTTTCTAATTGTATCTAATAATCATGTTCATTATCTTGTTGGTATGCTTGAACAGAGTTGCCATCATTATTGTGAATACGATATTATTAATTACTATTTCTTATCGTCATTTACTTATTATTCGTACTTCATTCATTACTCATTATTTACGTTTTTCTTTCAATAATTGTTTAGAATTATGAATTCACAATAATTTTAGTATGAAAATCACAAACATTTGAGAGGTTAGATAGACACGTCGCAAAGTATTCCAAAATAATAGGGCAGACTAATAAAAAATCGAAATAAATAGAGTGTACAGAAATGATTGGTGTATTAAATTTGGCGAATGCTGTTTTTAGGTATTTATTATTGACTGAACGACTATTTTTAAATATATTTATTCATAAACATTTATCAATGTAGATCCTGTCTAGTTAGCAGTTCACGCAATATTTCCACATATATACATCCATTATATTTTCGAGCGACTGAAGTTCTTTTGTAAGTATCATAAGTATCACTTTTTTTTCTGGACAAGCAAATTTATTGTTGCATTATGTTTATTTTAGAGGGGAACCACTTAAAAAGAAGAAAAGACTTGATCCTGCAATTGTTAGAGCCAGAGAAGAGAGGAGGAGAAAGAAACTACAAAAGAGAATGCGTCAGTTAGAAAAACATGCAAATCATATGAAACCAATTTTTGAAATAGATACATTACCTGAGTTATTACAAAATGAGTACGTTTTGCGTAATGACTTACTGAGAATGTCTTACATACACAAGGTCAATTTTTATTCTTTATATATTTATACCTAAACAAATGTTTCTTAGGAAAAGAAGTCATCACTTGTCTGTACCATTGTCAGAAAAAGAAATAGAGAGGCGAAAATCATTAGAAAAAGAATGGTGTAAATATAAACACGCTCAGTGGATAAAGGATTTACATGTTATAAACTCTATTATGAAGTCACAAGAAATAGCATTGAAAGAATTAAAAGCTGTTTCAAAGCAACTTTATAAAAAAGCAGTTGAAGTAAATATATTTTATACACACACACACACACACACACACACACACACACACATATATTATGACAATATACACTTATGTTATACTATTTAATATGTATTTACGAAAATTGTAAAACACATCTTGTTTCAGTTTGATGATTTATACATGCCGTATAGCGTAACAGGACCGGTATATACTGCACCAATAAAGAATTATGATAGTCCGGATGGTGAATATATAGAGACCACTGTTAAATACGTAGGAGAATAATTATGTAAAATAATAGAAATTATTGGAAACATTTTGTGTTGGAGATTTTAAAATGTGAGGAAGGGAAAGTATTTCTTAAAAAGCTGTTGTATGAATATAATTCTTATTAATTTGCGTTGATTTTATTTTCAATTTGCCAAGTAACGGATGTACATTTAATAGAAAATTCAATTTGTAATTCAAACAGAATATAAGGTTACGATCCCGTTAACAAATCATTTGTTATTTCATGTGCGATTATAGAACATCAATGTTTATAACACAAATGTAATAACTTTGCTTTTTATTGATTTTTTTATGAATAATAATTTGTATGGATAACGAACGATTTAAAGGATTTTTCAATTTCAACACATGAATAATAATATTTTTGTAAATTTATATTTGTAAGTTATCTTTTTTCAATAACTCGTAATATAAATATTTAATATTTTCATAAATTAGTCGCTCAATTGAGTAATCAATTGATCAGCCTCAATCAATTAGATGTGATATTTACGGTAGAATCGTGACTGTAACATGTTACATTTATTACTGACTTGAAATTACTGATCCTAATGTTAATCCTCTTTTGCACATGGGACAAGTATCATTCGTCTTGAGACACTGACGTAAACAATCAGCATGAAAAAGATGGTAACACGGTGTTACTCTCGCCCTGATCATGTCGCAAAGACAAACAGGGCACACATCATCAAATTGTTTAATTTCTTCAGCCGTTGCTTTTCTATAACAATTCAACATTTCACGTTCTAGTTTTAACAAGGGGCCAGATATTTGTAACAGATCTTTTAATCTCAAATAAATGTTGGAATAGATGGCAATAAATAAAAATTTCCAGGACACTAGTGGCGCGAGTATTATAATAAGGCACGCAGAAGCGCTAATGGTAAATGATTTTAATATCATCGAGGCGTAAAGTTCTTCAAGATTTTCAAAAATCTCCAAACGAAAAGATTTCAAGATTGACGGAAACAATTCAACAAACACTTTCTCCGTTGTCAAATAATAGATCCACGTTATCGTTATGTAATTCGTTGATGGTCTACAATAAGAATATATGTATGTGTATAATTGTATACGTATATTTTAATACGTTTCATTGCTACATTTTTCCTCGTATGGTAATTGTTACTCACTTGTAATGCTCAAGACCTTGATGCAAGCCAAAGACAAGGAGCATGAATGTTAATGTTACAATAAAAGTGATGGCTTTAGTCCATTCTAACACTATTTTGGTAGCAGACATGGCTAAGTGTTTAATTTTTGACGTTTCTGTGAGAGTCACGTAAGGTGACCAATCTTTCTTTTCGATCAGTTCCTTAATATAACTAATGCAGTAAGTAACAACATTGTAAAACATCAGTGTGTAAAGGCACGTCATTTTCGGTTCTGTTATAAAAACATGATCAGCCAGCATTAGAAACATCATTTGATTCGTCATCATAGAGATATTCTTCATTTTAAGGAAAAGGTTCTCCACTCGATCGATAGGATCGTACAATCGTACGAGGAAGGTGTTTAGCTGGTTCCAGATGACCATAGGTAGCACCTTTTGTACGCAAAAACATATTTAATATTAATATCTTAATTTATTATTTATTATTATCATCCTTCCCCCGCCCCCCCCCCTCCTCCCCCTCTCTCTATAATATCTATCTATCAATCTATCTTTCTCTCACCCCCTCTTTGTCCCCTTTCTTTCTTTTATTAATATTTTGAAATCCTTAAAATAAAACGTGACAATTTTTTACGAGCTTTTTAATACATAAAAAATAATTTGACAATAGATGATAGTTTCGTGTCGACAGAACGTCAATTCCTCATTGGTTATTCGATTTCATTAGTGAAGTAAATTTGTTAGCGAAGCGTGACAAGTCAATGAAATAACATGTCAATGAATGACCATCTTTATTTTTCGTAACGCTGAACTGAAGAAATTTACATATTAATAGATGTGTTCGTCAAGAGAATCCTCGCAAACAGGAGAAGACGTGTCTAGAAGAGCATTCACGACACGATGGATAATTAGGACAGGAAACAAGGATTTCGCTTGACAACCTAGATCATCTTTTGTGACGAAACGATAATAGATATATCGACTGTTAAATGAGCGGCTATGTGCCTTCTTCTCCCCTTTCTCCTCTTGTCCTTTCTTCACGTCCCTATAAAACAAAGAGCACTTGGCTTCAATAGCGCATTCAACGTCTTTCCGTCTTCGTATATTCGTGTCCTCACGTTGTCATATTTTCCTTACTCTGGTAAAGAGAACATTATCATTGTTATTTAATTCTACGTTTCAACTAGAAACATTTGGAAGAACATCTTCATAGGGTGAGCACCGTATGCTTTCTGTAAACGGTCACCCGTTTGTCATTACATTACATGATTACATACATATTCACATAGATTCGTACACACACACACACGCGCACACACATTCATTCATTTTATTCATATTTCTGTATAGCCTTCTTCTATCTTGTTTTTTCTGTTGTCCAATTCAAATTTAATATGAAAGGAGACAGTGGAAAAGAAAGAACAGAAGAAAGTGCGTAAATGAGAGGGAGATATAAAAAAAAAAAGAGGGAAAAGAGGAAAATTGGATACGAGAAGGTATTAATAAAATAATTGTACCTGAAATGAATTGTAAGTGTAAAGAAATTTGTATCTTTAATAAAATCGATAGAACTAATCAATGCGGAATATGTAATTAATTTTTAACTCGTGACTAAACGTAGTCAACGTTTAATATTATTGACGAAACTAAAATTGAATTGAACAAAAATAATAAATAGAATGAAATTAAGTTAGGCTAAAAAAGATTAAACTAAATTAAAATAGAATAAAATAAAATGAAATGGAATCAAAGAAAATTGAAATAAAATAAAATTAAATTAAATTAAAAAATTTTCGAAACGATATTTTATATGCAAAGTGGGAAATTATTGTGTAACATTTAATAACTATGTTATTGTTAGCAACGATCAATTTTTTTCATTTACTTTGTTGGCAAAAATTGATAAAGTTAGTATTTATTTAACAAAAATTACTTGTTCAAACTTTATTATGCATTTCTGCGAGAGCGAAAGAAAAAATTAATGAGAAGGTTTAAAATGAAGGTTTCGAATGGAAACACTGTAACAAAAAGAAGTGTGATCTAAGAACCTTAAATACACACATATATGTATGTACTCTTACGTACATACATATAATTACACGTGAATGTGTTGCGTATTATTTTCCCTCCGAATGTTTTTCAACGAAGATTGTGCATTTAATAAGAAGTTTATTAGATTTACTCTCTATTCGGATGTACAATGTACATACATATATATGTATAAAAATTATTTGAACGCGAATAAATTTTGAAATTTTAATCAGTTCAAACTGAATCTCAAGTAACAGTTACAGTTGTTTCAGTGTTCTATTGTTCTATCATTCATTTTTTTTCTTTTCACAGTGCATGAAAGAAGAAAAAAAGAAATTACGTATATATACATGTGATGAATTTAGACGTATATTTGGTAAGATAGTGTGAAAATGAGTTGATTCTAGATATTTAATGATTAAGTGAAAGTTTGTTCGTAAACAATTTTTAACTTGTAACTTTTTCTTGTTACTAGACATAAGATATATATATATATATATATATATATATATATATAAATTTTTTTAAATGAATACATATCCATACACAGACATAAAAATGGAAATAGAATAATAATGAAATTTAATATAAGTGAATTTAATTGAAATTTAAAACAATATACAAATATTTTAACGATCAAAAAATTATCTTGTTAACAGTGTTATCTGTGGTATTTATATCATGGTATAAATACGTAACAGATGGATAATAACAAACTATTAAAGTTGAGTTATGTAAAAAATAAAGGAGGAAAATTTAAAGTATTGATACGATACACATGTAGGTATATAAAATGAAAAAGGATACCGCTACCTATTTGGATTGTTCGTTTTTAATAAAAGTTTTCATTCGCGAATGTTTAGATATTCTTTTAAATAAATACACAAGTAACGTGTCTCGATATGTACACATATGTGTTATTTATGTAGATAAATCGTCTCTTAGTCTTGTGTGATAGCTGATATTTATTGCTTGTAAAGTAAAGTAACAAAGTAAACGAGGCATCGAATTGGTTATTACTTAATATTATTTTAATAACTTGATAAATAACTAATAATACAAATAATTTGATAAATAATCCTTAGTTTTAAATCGCAAAGCATGCAAAGTATGTAACTTTTCTTCTTCTTCTGTTCACCGCACAGAGTAATAGTGGCCGATTAATAGTTGTCTATTGCGGTATTCAACAATATATGTGTAAATAGGACACAGTATTTTTATAATTTCATAAATATTTTAGAAATTTTCCTCTTGAAATTTGCCTTGTTAGACTGCGGATGACACGAATATCGAAGTATCGATACTTCCTCCTCTCGTTTCATTCCTATCAATTTCCTTCCAAATTCCAAATTCCAAATTCCAAATTCGAAGTTAAGAAAAATCAATGGACTTTGCAGTTTAATTATTTGACACGCGAATAATATTTGGATTGAATTGACTGATTCTGCATTCTCGCTAATATCTCTCAAGTATTTACGTTAAATAATATTTACTCGATTCTATTTCAGCAAAATTAATCGAATTTTGTTTAAATTTTGTTTCAGATCTACAAGGTGAAATGTTTACCGTACAAACTATCCGCATAGCTGTACTGCTTGTCATTGCTCTTCTGTAAGAAACTTCAACTCTACAGTTCGCTTGTGCTCGAACTAATTGTTTCTAGAATTATCTACTTAAAAAAAAGAAAAAAATATACAAAACATGTATTGTTTGCTTTTTCATTTAACATTTACACGACTTGTGCGCGTTAATTTTTATTCATAACTATTTATAAATATGTAAGCATGTACATATTTATGTATGTATGTATGTATGTATGTATGTATGCATGCATGTTTCTACGTATAAATGGTTATAGATGAAAGATGCAGAGAAACTAAATTTGTTCTTTGGCGGAACGCGATGAAATTTTCAATTCTCTATTACGCGCGTGAAACACGAACGTTAATTAAGTTTAATGCCAAGTTTAATATTATTGAGAATAAGTGATATAATACGTATACATATGTAACACACTTGATTCAATTAGGTACGATACATGTTCCGGTTACCCGTCGATAAGACAAAAGCAAGAGATAGCATCACATTGCAAAGGATGTGGCGACTTTTGCCACAAATGCGAATATGGTGTTGTAATGTCAAATGTTTGCGGGATAATGCAATGCGCAAAGGCGAGTCGTTTTTTTTTTGTTAATAGATGTTAAGTAACAGACAGTGTTGAATCGTTAAGAATCCGACAAGAGTCGCATTTACTTTTTCAGGGACCTGATGAAGCTTGCGGCGGGCCGAGAGAACTTTTCGGTACTTGTGGCGAAGGCATGCGCTGTACGTGCAATCAATGCACAGGTTGTAGTTCGGAAAATTTGAGATGCTCGAAAATTCAAAATCCTTGCTTGCGCGATGTCAATATATTTGGAAGATGGCCTACTATCATGTAAATTGATACGATGATTATTTATCGCGAATCGGATGGTCACCTACTTACCTAACAAAGCGAAAAAAACTGAGATATTTTTAAATTCTACAAACAATTCTACCACAGGGAGTTGAATGACGTACGATGCTTTTATTTTACTAATGTTTTATTTATTGTTAAATAAAACGCGCGTTGAATGATGAACCATCGAATCAACAAATCTGATTTTGAACAATAACTGAACAAAGTAAACGTGACGATTAGTTGCATTTGTGTTTTATATGCAATTACTAAAGATGAAAAGATTGAAAGAAAAAGGAAAAACGAGAACGTTACATACATAGGTAGATATTGAGTGAACGAATGAGAGAGAGAGAGAGAGAGAGAGAGAGAGAGAGAGAGAGAAAGAGAGAGAGAGAGAAAGAGAAAGAGAGGGAAAAAAGATGATGAAAAACAGTCAGACATTTATGAAAAATATTTTTTTACTAACAATACAATATATGCACGTATTACATCGTGCGAAATAAAATACCTAAAAATTTCAAGTTTAGTTGATCTACAAACATGCATCGTGTACATTGTTCTTGATAAGCGAGAAGACATCAAGTACTATTTCTTTAATTTCAAAGAAGACGTAAAAGAAGAGAGATAAAGCAAGAAGAATAGATCGAGCAGATGAAGAATGAAAAGAAAATCATCACCAAAGGCGTCACGAGCGATGGAATACTTTAATTTTGAACAAAATATTTTTATATCAGTACACGGAAAAAATTTATTGTCTCGTCAATGTATCATTGACCAGTATCTTACATTTCGTAAATAAAAAAAGAAAAAAAAAAACGAAATTTTCAATCTCGTTGACACATATCTTGTGTTATTTAATTTCTTAATTCCTTTTTGATTTTTTATTAACCTTATCAACATTTTCCGCAACATTTTCTTGTCGCTCTTTTTCCATTTCTCGCCCTTTTCCATTTCTCTTTTTCAATTATTTTCCATTTAAAAAGGAGAAAAAATATTCTGCATGAACGTAGAAACGCAATGACAATGGATGTCCTTGTTAGTTCTCCTCAGTAAAGTAGAATAGAAGAAATCAGATTCACACACGATGTGATCGAAAAAAAGCTTTACGAATTCGCATCTGAGCAGTTTCATCGCAAAAAAAAAAAAAAAAAAAAAAGAGGAAGAAAACAATAAATGTATGCAGATGTACATGTATAATAAATATGTATAACCAGTTTATTTTTGCGTACCTCTGAGACTGACATTGATAGTAGAGAATATCAGAAAATGTAATAATATCGACGTAACTTGCTCTGTTGAGAATTCGTGTATCAAGACGTTACTGTTAAACGATTGAACGATAACTAGTTGCTGATCAAACATTACATTTTCATCATTCGGAAAATAGTAGGTATGTAAGTACTTACATGCACTTGTAGCGTCGATATCGTTGCCAACATCGTTGACACTCGCTGATGCTATTTCGATTGTCGCTCGACACTTAAGGATCCACGCTCGTTCTACGCATATCGCTCACTCTCAAGATTTAATTTTAAACAAATTTAGTCTCGCTAGCCTTGAAATTTCTCGTTTAAAGATCAATTCTATTCTATTCTACGTTCTCTTTGGTAGCTATACTTTTGAAAAAGAGAAACGTACGAATTGTATTGTGTAAATAGTAGTAGTAGTAGTAGTAGTAGTAGTAGTAGTAGTAGTAGTAGTAGTAGTAGTAGTAGTAGTACCACACGCGTATCAGTTGAAATTCGTTTTAAATAAATTTCCAATATGTGTAAATTAGTTGAAAACGAAACAACGTAATTTCGTTTGAGATGGAGCTAAAATCGTTTGCGTGCAAATTCTCGATGAGAATTACTGACGTAAATAAATAAGCATGTAGGTAAGTAAGTAAGTGTGTGTATGTGTGTATATATATATATATATATAGTACCGTGACTAGCAGAGAGTCTACTATACTATCTAGATACGAGTAAGTTATTCATTTATTTGCTTAGTTACTTCTTGATTGGTCAACTATTCCTTTTCTACAAATTAGGCACAATTTATTCCCTACAATTTAGCGTGCAATTTATTTATAAATATATGTTACTAATATACGTACATATGTACGTACGTACGTAATATATTTTGCGTATAATTTCTATATAATTTGTATAATTTTTTTCTTACTCATTTGTTTCTTCTTTTTCCACATTTTCTACGTTATCTCGAAGGGTAGTAGAGCCAATACCGATACCTGTAGGCAAATTGTCGTTGTCAATAAGCTGATTCGTCGTTTCACGAACCGATGTTGATGCACAAGTTGTTTCTACGTCTTTATCTTCGACGTTGTTCGAGTGGCAGAGTTGTTCGGGAGAAGAGCAAAGACCTACAATTTCCCTTGGAAAATTCGCATCTGCTTTATGAAGCGATAATAACGTTGTTTGCTCTCCTCCTTGATCGATACTCGAAATTTCTTCGATAATGACAGGTCGTGGCGTATTATCGAGCGCCAATGGTTCCCGAAGATCGTCGGGATCGGAGTTGAAACTTGCCTCGAAGATTGGAATCGTGCCAGCTTTGTCAGTCGTATGAACTTGGTCAGACGCATGTCCGACGCGAATGATGCAAGGTGAAGTGTTTGAAGATAATTGATTCCAGTTCGATGCGTTAACGAGCAAATGAAAATTTTCGAAAATATCAACAACTGTTGGAGAAAGCTTGTGATAACGATGCAGAGAAGGCACGTTGAAAATTCCTGTACATCCTTGAATTTCTGAATAGAGATTGGCTGGAAACGTGAGGCAATCATCCGTCGTTTGAAGTGCAGGTTTCGAACGATGAACGAGCATATATTTGGAAGTTTCGATGAAAGGTAGCGGTAAAGAATCATGAAATTCTCCGGTGTGCCGAGAGAAACCGTGTGCAATTTCTTCTTTCTTTCTCTCCTTTTCCGAAAATGCCATTTTCATCATTTCATCCTAAGGTGAAAGAGGGGAAAGAAAAGCAACCTTGTAAAATTACTTACTACGAGCAATTAGTTTGCATACATACATGCGTGCATGTGTATATTGAAAAATTTGGTCGTCGAATTCAAAGACTCGTCACTTGTTTGAAGATGGAAGAAAGAAAAACAGGTGTATAGATTATGCACTTGGTACCTACACGTGTAAGATACGTGTAACATTTAGACGCTTTATACTCGCTTATACGTGCATATACCCACAACGACGAATACACACACACACACACACATATAGCATAACTTGTGTAAAGTTTCAATATTTTTTAAGTATTCGAGAAGAAAGTTCTTTTCACGACTTTGCATAAAATATTGTTTGACGTTATTGTATACGTGTGGCTTGAAGTGAGAGAGGAGGGGAGGGAGGTGCGAAGAAGAAAAGAAAAAGGAAAGATGAAAAATATAACATAATACTTGCTTCGTTTCCTTCTTCCTCGTTTTCTCTTGCTTCTCGTCCTTCCTCACTTGTCTTTTCATCTTTCTCTCTTCCTTTTCCCTTTTCACAGTCTGCTCGAGTATCATTGTCGAGCTTTCCTCGACAATGAGAAGAAATCTCTCCGATCGCTACTTTCGACGCCGATGGATCTTGCACAGATGGGTGAAATTGAATTACAAAGTCTTCGGCTTGATTCGGCTTCGTATTGTTCGCTCGAGGTTTAGGCGACAAGGAGGACTTCATCGAATCGTTCGATTCAACTACTTTGGTGTTGTCGATGATAAAATTTCGTATTAGTTCTCTTGCAATTTCTTCTTCCACGTAACGAGATTCGTTTCCTTCGTCTTTTTCGTCCCTTTCGTTAGAAAATTTCTCTGTTCTTTGAAATTCCGAATAGCTTTCAGTCTCGTTGCCAGTTTTAGTCATTTCAGTTATCGGTTCGCTGAAAGGTCTTGCTCGATCGTTTTCGAAAGATAAAGTCTCATCGTTCGGGTCGTTTAGTTTCCTCTCGTTGAAGCCAGAGGAAGCTAAGGCGTCGAAAGAGGACAGAGAAATATTTTCATCCTCGGATGAAATAACGTTGCCATTTTCGTTTGAGAGAAGATTCTTTGAATCGCTTTCGCCGATCGTCGAGGATATCGTTACGTCTTGCAACGAATCCAAGTTCAACTCGGGTACGTTTATCGTTGGTCCAACGACACCTTGTTCGAACGACAGAGAAACGTCGCTCGAACGATCATCGAACGTTCTCCTTTCCTCTTCCTCTCTAGTCTTCGTCAAATTATCATTCTTCGCAGTATGTTTTGCGTAGTCGCGTTTCGATGACGGATCGGAGATATTCGAGAGAAGGCAAGCTGATGTCTCCTCTTTACCGTCCATCTTATTTTGTTGTTGGTCTCGACTGAAACTCGTCGAAACTTTTGCTTCGCACTCGATACTCTTTTGACGTTTCATCGATTCGGCTGACTTTTCCGAAGCATCAACGATACGACCGCGACGCGGACGATCGACGGTGGACGATCGTTGTACAACCATCGAAAATCGATCGTCTTCGTTTTCTTCCTCCTCTTTGATATTTGCAAGATCTTCTTGATAGGCAGACACTCGATCGGCAGCATCTTTTACGTCGCGTAAAAAATGAGCATCAACGCTGCTTGAATAGTGAACGATAGTCTCTGGACCTATATACTCTCCGAATGGATTCTGCTCCTGGCAATGCTCCACTCCGTGCCTCCCCTCCTCCTTTGTTTCAATTTCACTGTTCCAAGTGGATGGAATTGCAAATTGGTCGAGAGCGCCGCCAGTGCTATCGTCCAACTCGATTTTACAAACGTTATCGTAAACGTTATCCGGTATAATTACGGTGGTCACAGTTTCCGGTATTTCGCAAGGGGAACCTTCGGTAAGTACGTAACAAGAGACATCGATTCCTCTGGTAGACCGGCTGCAACGTTTGATTTCTCCAACGTTCGTACTATCGTCGCTACTGTCGTTGTTACGACTGTCTTGGTCGTTGATGAAAGTTCCCGAGTTGTCCGAGTCGGACAACTCGGAACGTTTTCTAATCGACATTTCATTTTCAACCGAGTCATTTTCAATTTCAATGTTATCGTCGTTGTCTTCGTTACTTTCGTTGCTCGTTGCACTCTGACTTTTGTCTGAGTTTTTCTTCGTCCACTCGTCATCTACGCGCGATGCGACCTGTTCGTTGCGTGCGCAATCTGGTTCGACATTTCTCGTCGAAAATTCAATCGAACGCTCCGATCCTCCGAATTCGTTGTCGAAATCATTGGAGATTGTCCGAGAGGATACTAACGTGTTTTCGATGCTTTTCTCCATTGTTTCTATTTCAATTAATTTTCTCTCGAGTTCATTTGGTTCTGGATATCGTTCTTGTCTTTCATTTCCCTCCTCTCTCTCTATCTCTCTCTCTCCGTTCTTCTTCCGTTCGCTTTCCAGACGTTTCGACGAATTTGTTTTCTCTGAAAGATCGATCGAATCTGGCGATACGCTCAAACTATCTTTCCAAGTTTCTCGAATTTCTTCGGCTTCTTCAGATGAATTTGAACGCGGTCGTTGAATACATCCTGATTGTTGCGGAATTTGCGTTTCATCGACATCTTGCTCAATTATGTTACCCGTGGTAAGAAGAGTTTCGCTTCCTTCCACGGATTTACTTTCACGAGGGTATTTTCGCGAAACAATATCGTGCACGTTTACGTCGTCTCTCGAGTCTTGGTCGTTGCATTTTTTTTCAATTGCTTCCCGACTGCAATCGGAATTTCCTGCAATTTCGACGGTAGTTACGCCTTCTAGTTTAAACAACTCTGAATCCGAACGCTTCTGAATCCGACTCGAATTGAATGTTGAATCTTCGCAATGGTGACGATGATGGTGTATCGCCTGTTCGTTCGACCGAGCATCCACGTCATTCGACAAAGATGGTAACTCGACTAGTAAATTGCTCCCTTTCCTCATCGACTTTGAACCGTCGCTCGAGATTGGCGGTAAGGTGAAATTACCTGCGCCATCCTCCCCGTTCGATTCGTATTCGTAACGTTCGCGAACGTTGTTCCTCGTACATTTTCCAGAAGATTGTCGTCTAACAACCAATGGAAGAACCACTGAAGTCGTCCCAACGTTGGGTATCTCGTTCGTCGAATCGTCGAACATTGTATTGCTCTTTGACAAATCGGGCCGTGATTCGACGTCATTAACAACAGCCTCTCCCATTTCGTTCACTTCTCTCGAACGTACTTTGTCATTCCTCTTTTCTAATTGCAAGTTCAATGTCGCGTCATCCTCTCTCGCATCGTCAAATTTCTCTCGAAATTTCTCCTGCTCTTTTCGCTGATCTTCCATCACAGATCTCCTCCACTCGTCTTTCCAGTTTCGAGCCATTCTACCCTCTGTTGTCACGTGTTGTCGTCGCGCTTTTTCTCTCACATTCCATTCGTTTCTACCTTCGTTGTTAACAAGCGATCGACTTCTTTTTCGATCGGCAATATCTACGTCTATGACATCTGCATCTTCGTTCGTACAAATGTCTTTGAAATACATGCATGTTCTTTCAATTTGATCGGCACTTTTCTGACGCGTTAAATTTTTCTCGTTTCTGTAACTTTTATCATCCAAAGTGGCAACGGTACAGAATTTTTCAACAACATTCTCCCCAACTTCTCCTCGACTCTTGACACGCTTTGCGTGCATTATATTTCCGGCGGACGAAGATCGAACAAATGGATAATCGGGGCAATCGGGGTGATCGGGGTAGTCGGCAACTACTTTCTCCGTCTCTTTCCCATTAATCAATCCTTTATTGCAATCTTCTTCGTACTTTTGTTCAATATCGCTTGACATTGCACGGTACTCGCGGTGCTGTTTGACTGCTTTAACCGCCCTATTTATAGACCAACCACTTTTACTACCGCTACCTGCCCTTTCTCCTTTTCTCTTCGATGCCGCCGGCGCTGCTTTTCTCGTTTCTCCTATCCTCCATGTCTTGGTTGATTTCTTCGCTTCCCTCGTTACCATTGCTTCTTCCATCGAGTTGTCGTATTTATGAAATAATATATGAAAATGATCATCACAGACTTCAGCAACATCGACATCGTTCTTATTACCGTTATCCAATTTCGCCCAATCAACGATACTGTCGCGTTTGTTCAGCAACTTATGCTGCAGTATTTTTGACACGACTTCCCCGGTACGTTCTTTGTCTCTCAACTTCACCAATTCTGCGAAATGTTCAGCCGCGAATGCATATATATTCCGGGGTCTTTGACGCAAAATTTCTCGCGCCAGTCCTTCGACTGCAGGAGCTAAGCCTCGTGGTATTCGAGGTACGATTATGTAGTCCATTTCCGACATTGTCGCGCTCGGTTTATCACTCGATTCCCTTCCTTTACGTATATTATGTAATTGTTCTTTTTTTTTTTTTTTTTTACATACAAACGTACATACACTTGTACTATAGAGCACAACAGACACAACGGAAAGACACTCGACTTTTTCTACGCATTTTTCTTTCCTGTTCCTTTCCTTTCAAAATTTTGCTCCTTAAAATCAACGACACCGTAGATACATAACAAAAAATACGAAAGACACTACTATAATCCTCGTATCGAAAGTGGGCACAAGATTGTTAAACGTATACACTTGTTTATTACTACGCATGCACGAAATCGATCGAACACACATCTACATACATGTGTACGTGTTTATATATATATATATATGTGTGTGTGTGTGTGTGTATTAATTGATCGCGGCTGTAAGATTTTATTTTTATTTAATATGTATAAATCAATTTGTAAACAATATCTTTAGAATCAGAATTGACTTTCTCAAAACTTTTTCAAAATTACAAATAAATTTCCTTCCTGATAACCTTAGTACGAAGTGAGCAAGCTACGATGAAATTGATCGGCCATCGCCAGTAGAATTGTGTATAGTATGTTTATGCATGTCTATACTCGTTCGTTGATAGCCTTTTAAAATATTTAGTTTTCAACATTTCCATGATGCTAATTTTTAAGATAGCTAAAAAGTAGATTAATATTTTATCGTATCACGCGTAACGTATTTTTTTTATACATTTTTGTAAAATATTTGAATTAGAATGTTGTATGGATAATTTTTAACGCGAAAACATCAAAAATTTTCCGTTTTGGTAATAAATTATAATATTGTTTGTTATAATTTGTCGACAGACCAATTATGTTTTTCTGCATTTCTTAAGAATATTTCTTGACTTTGTATCAATGTAATTTGAGAAATTAGCCGGTTTCTTTTTGTTCCGTTGTAAATTGATAATGCATAAATTGTTACAAACAACTGACGGCAAGTCTCTTTTTATTTATTTTTTATTTCTTCTAAGCTTTTAACAAAACTTAATGTTTTTGTTCGCATGTGTGTAGAGTTATAAATTCCGACTCGAGGGGATGCAATTCGATGGCAGGAACGATTAAAGAATGAAGAGGGGGGCCCAGATCAACAGAAGCCATTTGCCCAAGAGGGCAAGCAACGATACGTTGTTGATTATCCCAACCTACACGAGCCAAACCCACTACAAGACTGGATTCATCCAGTGCTGCGAAACAACAAAATTCATTCTCTATAGATTTTCCTTGCGGACAGAGTGATTTGGAAAAGATATTTTTCTAACATTTTACCTGCTTCCTCCGCAAGTTTTTCTTCGTTTTTCTCCCCAATGATTTCTAATAATTGCGTAGCAGCTTCTGAAACGCTCATAAACTGAGCTGGCATATATTCTTTTTTCTTTTTAACGATACTTTCTGTCGTAGGCTCTTTCACTTTAATGTCTAACAAACACAACGTATGCAGATTCCTCCGTCTATTTGAGATAATTTTCTCATAAAAGCTATTTGGTCGCCAATTGTTGTTCCAGTAAGGGATAGAAACAGTTTCTCCAAAACGATATAATTGTAAACCACAACAGCCGATTGCAGTCAAAATGGATGAATTGTGAATAATCTTTACCTGGATAACAAAATAAAAACTTTTAATACCTTAAATTAATCAAATCGGTTTTATTTAAAAGAGAAAAAAAAATATCCTCCTTTACTTTTGAATATATTTACCTTTATACCTTTCTCCCGAGCTCGTAATATTAAGTCTGAATGCGTAGTGGCACCAAATGGATCACCTACCACCAGGAAAGCAACATTTTCCTTCTCGTCTTTTGGCAATATTTCATCTACATTATTCTCAACTAATTCTCTGTCAGCTTCCAGTATCGAACATCCGTAAAATTGTTCCTAATTTGTTGAAATTATGTATGCTACGGTTGGCATCCTGGTATCGAACGAGCAAATACAATGCGCAGCAAATTTATTGATAATCGTACGCATTAGACATTGAACGTTAAATCAATCGAGGAACCACGACTATAACTGATCTTTTTAATCTACCTACCAAATCCATTAAACTGATAGACAAAATCGATGTGTACGATTCTAAGTAGACACGATCGCACATTCGAATGGTTTCCAAACCCTTTACAGTCACATCTGTCGCATCGCCAAGGCCCAATCCAATCACGTGTAACATTTTTCACAACTTTTTTGGGCTATTTGCACGAATCTGTGCCACAAATCTCTCAAGTTGCTAATCAAATCAAAACGTGATGGTTGTTTAAATTGCCTGAAGAAAAAGAGGCAATTATAAACGTTATATAGACAATTGTAACGTTATATGTATGTACTATGTACCACAGAAGTGTCAATTTTTATATTTCACTTTCAACTTTCAACGTGGTGATATTTCCACAATACAGTACATACAAGGTACATACATATATGCAGTTCTAAAATTATATATTTCAATGATATGAATGCATTTTATGCCATAAAATTTTGGCTCGAATTATATAATTGTTAATTATAAATACTTACAAATTTATCTAATTGATTGTTTAAAAATTTGTTCGATTTCTCGAAGAGAGAAACACTAACGGTGCGCTGTCGTGGAACGATGGAGTTGAAACTAACCTATTCACGACAACAAAAAAATGAAATTTCGCTATGCATTGGAAACCGAATTTTTCAAGCTATCCAAAACTAAAATTAATGTTTCGCTTTAAGAAAATTTCTGTACGACGACAGAGTTTCGATACCTCACGTAATTAATTGGAATGAATTAGAATTGTAATTAAAAAGAAATGGTAAGCAGTGCAGCGTCATCTATCAGCAAATGATTGCTAGTGAAAAGTAAAAAATATTTATTCGTGCATTTCTCGAGATAAATCCGATATAGAACAAAAACTAAGCTGAGAATTTAGAGAATTAGACGGGCGCCATTGCAAATGTTTACAAATAAATCCCTTTGACTAAATACTTTTGTCAATGAGAATTGAATTCATGGAAAATTATAACCATAGGCTTTTCTGTCAATGAGAATTTGCTTGGTCCGTGGGTACCACAAGGCAACCGACGCTAGCGCCTCGTTGTGGCGAAACAATGCGAGCTAATCGCGATCTCTCTCCTTGTTGTACGCTATTACGCTCCTTGTCTACGGATAAACCATGTATTGCCACCTATTGGTGACAATTAAAACAAAAAGATATGATTTTTCTAGATTGATACGACAGGTGGCGACATTTTGCCTTGTCCGCAGACAAGGAGCACAACAGTGTGAGACAAGGATAGCGATAGATTCTAGTTGCACCGTTCCGCCGCTAATATTTAATAATTTGTAGTAATTTGTGATTATGATGATATCATAAAATTACAAATAAATAAGAACAACTTTGTAACTTTAGTAAGTTTTAATAAATTACAATAAATGATATTTAAATAACAATAATATATTGGATAAAATTTATAGTACAAATAGATAACTGTTTTCTGTGAATGTTAATTAAGGAATGAATAACAAATTATAAAATGGGGTCTATATATATACGTCTCTATAAATAAGTGAACAATAACATTTCCATAGTAATGAAAAAAATAAAATAAGAATTTACAAATATTCTTATGTTAGGAGTTTGCGATATTCTTATGTTATACAGTTGGCGATGTCGGTTTACAGGAAACGTACTTTTCGGCTGAACGACTGTGTAGATGGCGTTGATGTTAATTTTGAAGAGGTAACGGTCGCTACAAATTACTAAGTGTAAGTACAATGATCGAGCAAATTTTTATCAACAAAGAGAACTAATTAAAGGGATCAATTTGTGAACTTTTGTAATTGCGTTTCTAAAATTTGATCCTCGGTTTCCTCTCTGCATTCTAATATCGCTGTGAAACGTACGAATAAGGATTTGGTAATTTTAATCGATAGATTAAAAAAAAGCATTCGTTGAAGTGATGTTTAATTTCCTGGAACTACGTTCAAAGCTTGGATCAAAATTAGACGTGAAAATACATAGTTGAAACTATAAGCAGGTAGGTGCGCTATGTAGATAATAAATAATAAATAAGCGTAAAATTATTATATATATCCTTTATTGTATATCACTGATAAGTGGCTATAGTTTTTTAAAAAGCACATCATAAAAAAAAAAAACGATATAAATATACATAGATATATACTTGCTCATAGGTTTACACCTGCAAAAGACTTGTGCCAGTCAGCTATTATTTTTCATCACATGGAACAGCGACAATTTTCGGAGAGAATGATTCGAAAAATGATTTGTATAGGTACAGGAAAAATGGTAAACACTGATGTTAGATGTATGTCGTTTATTTATTATTGTATTTAATCGATCCGATCGCAGATATAGTTTTTTCATTCATTATATTTTATCTTCCATAAGTTATTAATTACAAGTATTCATCGTCATCTATAATCTAAAAGGGTATAGGGGGCAAAGTTATAGATAATCTCTTTGTGATTAATCTTTTGTTCTGTTCACAGTATTGACTCTATTACATACGCTAATCAGATGGCTAAAGTGTTTGTATCTACAAATATATTTTATATTTATTTTCTATATACATATACATATGTATACACACACGCACGCGCGCATACACACAGAGGCACACACCACACACAAACATATACATACATGCACGCACGCAAGCACGCACGCATGCATGCACGTACACACCACACGCGCGCGCACATACACATGTAATTTGTATATGTGCATATCTATATATACATACGTTGGTTTGTAACGCATCTTTGCACATTCTTTTTCCCTTTCTCTAAATTCTCTTATTTCTTTGTTATTTGATTTTTAATCAAGACAACGTGTAACTTGCGCTTCGTGCACAAGTGCAAGTACAACGTCACCCCCCCCCCTCCCCCCTTACACTTTCAAGCTACTTTTCCTCCGTTTCTTTTGCTTTTTCTAATACCAACTTTAAATTTACCTATGTATGTACTTATGTACGTATGGGTGTGTAGCGTGTAAGTATGTTGAGGAGAAAAAACTAACGATAAGTGGTGTTGCCACGAGTGAGGATAGATCCCGGTTTCTTTTCTTTTTTTTTCTTTTTTTAAACAGAGCTAGACTTGATGTATTTTTTTTCCATTTTTCCTTTTTTTTTTTCTTTTTTTCAAACGAGATATTAAGATTTAAGAGTATATATTAGTGTACATAGTATCTGACTCTTGTTTGACACATATGATTGAGGTCTCGAGCAAATTTCTCTGCTGCTTAGCTCGCATCTCACAGCCTAAAGGTGATTTAAACCAGACGCGGCAACTGTTTACAACAGGTCGCGTCGCTACATACGATAAATCTCCGACAAGTGCCGAGCTTGCAGGTGTGTATGTGTATATATATATATATATATTTTATTTTTTCTCTCTGTTAATATGTCCTTTCTCACTTTACGCATACGTGACGTATAAGTATGTACTTATGTATGTATGTCCATGTCCATATGGTCAGTTGTGCATTTTCAAGTAAGTACAACATAGTAAAATATTAAAGCGACAGCAGAATACACTGCAATACTGTTTGATCTATGAAAAAGATGTTTCCCTTTCCTTTTGTTTCCTCTGATTCATTTTCTCATTTTCTTTTCGTTATTGAAAACCTCTCCTCTACTGGATCTTCCCCAAATTATTTTTGTCATTTTTTGTTTTTACTTTTTTCCTAAGTCTACCTACATATTTATGTATGTACAACACGTTTAACATTCAATCTGGAACAATTTTTCTCCTCTTTCTCTCTCTCTCTCTCGCTCGCTTCTCTCTCTCTCTCTCCCTCCCTCTCTCTCTCTCTCTCTCTCTCGCGCGCGCGCGCGCTTATAATTCTCTTTTTCCTTCTCTTTTACTATTCCGTTTCAACTTTTATTCTTTACTGCGATAAACTCTTCTCATAGTCAACATATTTCGTATAAACTATGCTGTGCCTATCAAATAGGCAAATACACATAAAATATATAATAATCGACAAGTGAGTAACGTATTAAAATTAGAAAGTACGTATCGCAACATCGCGGACGATAAATAGATGGTGATTGAGGAAGCATCTCGCGAACCTACGCCGCGCCGCCTTTTCCTGCCGTTTTTCTTCTCGCACAACGGCAACGGGCTATTTGCTTTTTCTCTCTTCTCTTCGTCCTGCAATATCATTGGAAGCAGTTCTACTGCTTCTTGCAACTGTCTTCTATTTTCTTTCTTGCTTGGTGCAACGCACGGTTTCACGCATGTTGACGATGAGGTAGATAAAATAACATGTTTCACTTTTCTACGCGGCGCTCCCCGGCAATGGACACGTCCAACTTGTCTGAATTTTTTGCAATGTACACGTAGCCGTGGTAGTATCGGTAGACGGTTCGATTTCTCCTTTTGATCTTTATGTGTATGTATTTCTTTTGATGGTTTTATATACGTGTCTGTCTGTCTGTCTGTCTGTCTGTTTGTTTGTTTGTTTACAGGACGTTTCAAAAGCCAGTCCAGTCCAAGTTTAAAAATCGTCGGTCCCAAATCTGATGACAAATCGTTCTCATTCGCTGGCGAGTATGACTTTGTGGATTGGATCGATGCAACAGAGTGCAACGTTCGACCGATGAAATCAAGTGTGCATCGTTCGTGTTATCAACGAAATAAAAACTCGTGCAACGCTGTTGAATGTTGTATCGATCGTTGTTCATTATCACGAATATGAAAATGATCGATCCATTTTTGAAATACCCTGTCGACAGTGTCAAACGTAACGAACGAAGAAAGAAACCTGTACGCCTCTTACGCGTGTGTCCTGGCCGACTGTAAGCGATTACTGTAAGATACCGCAATAAACTTTATTCTGAGCAGCGACTCCGGTTCACGGTTTTCGATTAATTAAGTAGACGATTGTTGTTGTTTCATCTCGACGAACATAATAATGCGCTGCCCGCTCTACCGATTATTTCGCTCTTTTTATCTCTGTCTTTCCTTCTTTTTCCTTTTCTTCAAAAACATTTCTCCATCGATCTTTTCTTCTTCTTTTCAATTTATAGATAATATACGTCTATACTATACGTCTTGTGTACAAGTATATTTGTATTTTTCTTCTGTGTGGCGTGTGTGTGTGTGTGTGTGTGTGTGTGTGTGTGTGTGTGTGTGTTTGTTTGTTTGTTTGTTTGTTTGTTTGTGTGCGTGCGTACGTGCGTGCGTGCGTGCGTGCGTGCGTGCGTGCGTGCGCGCGCGCGCGCACATATATACATATGTGTATACACATACGTACATACATACATATACATATATAGCTAGTACCTATCTAAAAGTGAGACACGGTCGAAAAAATTTCGAGCCGCGTATGAAACGTGGCATGCACACGACACTTAAACGCGACCGTTTACAACGCTACAGGCTAACCTTCGATGAAATTTGGTTAAACATCCTCGCGATAAATGTGAGACATCTTTCTTTTTTTTCTTCTTTTTTTTTTTTTTTTTTTTTTTTTTTTTTTTTGGCATTAATCGTTTGTTCGTTTTGTAAAGTGTACGCAGGCGACATCGTGACATGTGCTTTTTTTTCTTTTTTTTGTTGAAAGTTATCGCCATGAGGATTACGCGCGCAAGTACGAGCGCGCGTACTCTCTTTAGTAGACAGACGTGACGTGTCAGAAGTTGAAACGGTGAATCGAATCGGTAGGCCTTGGATCGTATGGACAGTATGTATAAATGCGAGCCTAGACGAAGATTTCGACGCGCAAGAGGTCGAGAAATGGTAGTAGAATGGAAAGAACGAATCCTTCAGCCCAGTGGATGAGATATGCGCGAATGCTGCGCCGCGATATTTTATTTTCTGCGTTCGCGATACGCTGCGAGTGGTACATACAATTGGAGGTAGACGCTAGAGGTTTGAACCTTTACGAAGGCGCAATATCGAGGCGATATCTGGCAATTTTTTAATACATAGAATGTAACCAAATTACTTGTACAAATGTGCGTCCGAAAAGTGAGATCTTTCTTTTTCCCTTTTTCTTCGCATTGATGTTCTGTGCGTAGTTACGCTGGCGATTTATCGCCAACGTTCCCTGTTGTATCGATGCATTTAGAACTTGGATGCAATAGAACTTAGTTTTATCATTTAGAGTTTGGAGTCTCGTGTCTGTATCGACCATTGGTGTTATGTACACATCATACGTCGATCACCTGCATGATCGGGTATGTCTCCCAAAGACTTTCGCGATAGATTAAGTAGACTACTATTGCGTGATTCCTCGTGTGTAATATCGACACGAATAACGCGAATTAGCAGCTCGAGAAAGATTTCGCGGTACATATCATACACGTATGATGTATATGTATGTATATATGTATATACTTTCCTTAGGACATTTACCGTTAGAATTTTTTAGTCGTAGGTAATCGTAAGTAATCGTAAGTAGGTAGATAGGTAGGTAGGTAGGTAGGTAGGTAGGTAGGTACGTACGTACGTACGTCTATGTTTTTCATATCGATGCAATGATACGGATTCCTAATTTAGTAAGTAAGTAAACCGTGAAATCGTATTGCTATTAGAATTCTGACGTCATCGTAGCGATGTGTTTAAGTGATATAAATTAGTAATTTCAAGTAACTACCTCAGCGCTACGCTCTGTTTCTGGCACATTGAAAATCTTTCTTTTCTCGCGTCTTTTTCTCCCGTTAGCATCGATCCTTGCGAGTACGGATCTCCGACAGGTACGGTTCCGAGAATATATTTTGCTTTCCTTCCGTTTCCTTTTTTGGCAGTGACGCACTTGCCTCTGGTGCGTCGATTTCTTCTGGTACGACCATCTCCTCGTACATATCACGCAGATATCAATTTGATTCGTTCTCGTCGTGCAAGGATTGCAAGGACCCGCACAGACACAGTCAACGTACTACGTGTCTTTTCTTTTTTCTCAATCCGCGGTGCGTGCGCTGCCAATGTGACGTGTTCGTGCCAATCCAAATGCACGTTGCACACGCGCCCTCCTCTCGCCGACGTATCCCACACCCTTGACCGCGCTATCCTAGGCTACCCTAAGTTCACCTACAAGCGGTAGAATTATACACAAGTACCTATTATACTCTCTATAACGACAATGCGTGTAGAAAAATGAGCCTCTCGCGTCTTTGGTTAAACGCGAAGCATTTAGAAAGTATTCTGGCAGTGGTTTTCGTAGATGCTTCGATCTTAGCCTCGGACCAAAAAATTTTGATTTCAGTTTTGAAATGAGTTGGGGTGCGCAATCGTCGGAGCCGGTACCGCTAGTGAGTTACATTCTCCTTTTTGTGTTTACATGCTCGCGAAACGCGTCGGCCTTTTGTTTCGTTCGACGGAAACTCCTCGAATTTCGCGTCGAATTTCCTTTCGATTTCGATTCTTCCTTTCGGATTCCGTCGATGACGATATCACCCGAGAAATTCCGAGATATTTCCAGCCTCTGCTCTTGTTCCTCTTTGAAATGAAAAGAGATTTGAGAATCTAACCCATCGATCGTGTACTGACGAAGTCTAGGAAGTATGTTCAGTATGCAGCCCGACAATAAGTGCAAACTATCGCGCGATCGCACGACGTGTAACACGGATAAAAACCACAACGTTTTTCTTCCTCCTTTTCTTTTTTCTCTTTTCTTCTTTTTTTTTTCCTCTCTCTTTTTGGTTTTTGTGTTTGTTTTGTTATGTTTTGTTTTGTTTTGTTTTGTTTTGTTTCAAAGTCTCTCTAGCCTCGTGGAGAAAAGGGACGAGTGTAAAATGAGACAGATCCTACGTATGTATTCTAAATTACGCGTAAAATTCGCTCGAAGGAAATGATTTTATCCTTTGGCATGTCATTTTTGGCCTTCTTGTCGAGGGTCAGCGTCTCTTTCTTTCTTTCTTTCTTTCTTTCTTTCATTCTTTCTTTCTTTCTTTACCAAACGTTTCTCTTCTTCTGACCAACGTCGTCCTTTCGATCGACATTCTCGTAGCGGCCTCTCGAAGGTAGCTCGTACCCGCGGAAACAGCGTCATGTCGATTGGCGTCAATCAACAGCGTTCCTCTTCGTCGATTAACCGGCTGTGAGTGTGTGTATGTGTATGAAGATGTGTTCGTTCACAAGGCGGAACGCGCGACGCGCGACGCGCAACGCGTAAGACTGCTGAGACAATGGCACAAGAGAACGGCACGTGTTCCGTAGGGTGAAGTCGTTTAGGTCTTTCAGAAGTAAACTAGATGTCCGCTGTCGCGAGGCGATTACTTCGATTCCAGTCGATCTAGTTCACGAGTAGATGGTGATCACCTCCCGTCCGCCGCCACGTACCATCAGCACTCTCTCGAGACCCTCGGTGAGAACTTCTAAGAATTCCATATCTGTACGGAGCTTTCGTCAAGGAAATTGCAAAGGGACGAATTGAAAAGTGAAAAAGCGGTGAACGCGGTAAAAGGTGAATGTAAAGTATAGTCTAGCGTCGAACATACGTATGTATGTATCATATCCGTGCACACGTTGCGTTATCATGGATATATGTATGTGTACAGTTTGATTCGTAGAAAGGATACAGTTTGATTCACGTTCCATTTTGGTATCTCTGGGCGGTCCAGGAAGATTCAGGATGACCAACTGAGCGTTTTTGCTCTTCTTTACAATCACCTCGTTCAATTTGATGGAAGTGTGCATACGTCTGACGTTGCCCTCGTCTCTGAAGTCAAATCATCAAGTTCATCAAAATCGAATCGTCGTTTCTCGACGGAACCGGGCGATATACTACTACTACGACTACTACTCACGGTGTAATTGTAGGTTTCTTCGATTCCGGACTGTCAGCCTTCTTCTCCTCGTTCTCTTTTGCCTCCTTCTCCGTGTTCTCCTTGTTCTCCTGTTTCGGCGATCCGCCGATCAATTTCGTTTCCTCCTCGTTGTCCTCCTTCGCTTCATCCCCGGTTTCGTTAGCCTCTCCTGTCTCCTCCCCCTCTTTGCCGCCCTCCGTCTCTTGCACCAGTTTCTCCTGCGCCTCGTCCACCACGTTTGAATTTTGGCTTCCAGGTTCCTGGAATCTCACCTTGGTGGCCACCTTCACGTCCACGTTGTGGTGATGGTCCACGATCGCCTGCACCTGTGTCACGTTGGAACAGCGTCAATCGGAGCGTGTCAATGTGCGAGCAGCTGTCGTGTAGCTCCCGAGCAGCAGGAGGACGGTTAAAGTGACGGTCGAAAGAGACGACTAATGGTAAGTCTAGCGTCAAAGCACTCTAGAAATGCTAAATGGAAGCATTCTCGGCTACGAAACGTGCCAATCAAAAGCTGAAACGTTTTTGGATGGTCGATCCAAATGGTGAATGGTTCGGAGATGGATGTAAAAACGTAGTCATGAGAAGCAAGAGAAAGAAGCAAACTGCTGGTATTTGAAATTAAAATGTTGCGGGTCACAGAGAGAGAGAGAGAGAGAGAGAGAGAGAGAGACGGGGGGTGGGGTGGGGGGGGGGGAGAAAGAAAGGTAAACAGATAGATGTATTGTTATTCGATCCATATACTATACATATTGTACGTATAAGAATCGTGACGAGGAATCGTGAATCGTGAGACCTCCGAGAGTCATTTTTCTCGATATTCATTCGTTTTTTTTCGTTGTCGATATGGAAGTGAGTTGGTTAATTCGAATCGAACATTGTGGCTGTTGTTATCTTTTTATGCATTACGTTTGTGTGTGTGTGTGTGTGTGTGTGTGTGTGTGTTTGTTATGTAAGTATGTATGTACGTATGTATGTATGTACGAAAAATGAAGTGCGAGATTGTTTTTCTCCTTCGTTCTCTCTTTTTTCCTTTCTTTTTCTTTTCTTTCTTTTCACGAGATGCGGAAAGAACGCAGATTCGTGCGTGTGCGCGTGTACGTGTGTGTACGTGTCCTTGGTCAAAGTAGACACAGAGGCAGGGAGGACGATAAACAGACGAAGGAACTCTGGGGATTTTCTGACAAACCAGAGGTAAATTTTCTTCAGCGGGTACCTCGTTGAAGTCCACCAATGTCTGCACCTTATCCGTGACGAGCACGCAACAAACAGACACATACCGATCAGTAATCGTAGCGATAGCAGTTCTTATTTCTATAGTAGTAAATATCAAATACGTATACTAAATCTAGGTATCTCGTTATTCTCTTTTTTCCTTTCTTTTCTTTTCTTTTCTTTTCTTTTCTTTTCTAGTATTGTATTTTGCCGGTGGTCGTCGACCATCGGTTTTGCAATCTCGTCATTCACTTACCACTCCTAGGGACTCCTTCTTGTTCAGCCGCAGCTCCCTCAGCATCTGGTTCCTCTGCTCCATCATCAGCGTTCTCTCGTAGGTGTACGCGGATATGTCGGAATCCATCTATGAGAATCGAGGTGACTTTGAAAGCAACACTTTGCATAGCAGATACGTAGCAGGTAGAGTACGCAGCCTATTTAATTATAAATAGTTTGGATTGGACGAACGATGGACTCGTGAGCGACTTTTCCCCATCGATCGAGAAAGTTATTGCGGTGTATTGAAGGTAAATTGGTAACAAGGGGAGCAAAACGACTCACTCACCATCTCAACAATCTCCACCTCGGCCTCGATCCTCAGGTCGTAAAGGAACTTTTTCAAATCCTTCTTCATCTGGATAGAATTGTCCTCCATCTGGGCGACGGTGAAGATCCTCATTTTGCAATTTTTCCAGGTGCGATGTTGCTTGAGCAGGAACGGCAACAGCATCAGAAGACCGCCGTCGTGAACGATCCACCAGACGTCGATGTTACCGACGACTTTCTCCGTCGAGTCGGGGAAAAAGTTGATCCCCTTCGGCACCAAGAGGGCCATCCGGGCTGCCGCCACCGCCCTGACAGTCTGCAAAAATCCCCTCCAATTCCTTTCTTCCTGCGACTGCTTCCAGCGATAGGGCCATCCGAGGATCACGGTGTTGGGCTTCATTCCACCGAGTCCGGTCGTTTGAATCAACGAACTGAGACCGTCGACCACGTCTCTGGCGACCAATACGTCCACGAATCCCTTCACCTTCTCCTCCGCGAACGTCTTGCGCAGATTCACCTTGGCAGCGAGCGTCTTGCCGGTGTTTTGTATGTAGTCGCCGGCAATGCAGCTGACGCAGATGGTGAGACCTTTGCCAGCCTTCAGCTGACTGGCAAACGCGAACAACTTGCGATACTTGGGCACCAGGTCGTCCGTCAGCTTGGCCAAGATGAGAATCTGCGGCCGCCAGTTCTTCGTGTGAGGCGGTCCTTCCTCCAGTCTCAACAGGGAGTAGCGAGCGGCCGACAGAGCGAGACCGCGAATCCCGTCGCCCCATTCCTTCTCGGCGCCGCGATACTCGATGTACTTGTAGATGCAGCCAGCCATTCCCATGGCCAGCAGCGCGTAGTACCAGCTGGTCATGAACATGATGGCGATGCAGAGGGACAGCCCGACGAAGGAGAGACTCCAGTGGTAATACTTGAACCTCGGCCGCCAGTTGGGTGTTCTGAGGAGAGTCTGCAGGGCGCAGGCGAGGTTCACGAAGCCGTAGCACATGAGGAAGAACATGGACAACAACGGAGCCAGGTAGTCGACGTTGCCGAGAAGAATGCCGCACTGACAGATGAGCACTGTCAGCACGAGAGCCCTGGTGGGTTCGCCGCGACTCGAGCTGGTGGCGAACGGAGTGAGGAACGGGATGATGCTGTCCTTCGCGATGGCTTGAAGCAATCGGGGAGCCCCCGTCAGTGATTGAAGTCCAGCGCCGAGGGTCGACAGGAACGAACCGATCAGGATGACCCATTGATTCGGCCAGGCCATGTTCGCTACCACCAGCTTGCCACCGATACTCTGGCCAAACTTGTCTCGCAGCAGAAGATTGTCCACCGTGCCGGCGAACAGTAACACGCTGGAGAGATACACCGTCGAGGTTGTCAAAATGGCGCAGATGGTGCCGATGGGAATTGACTTTTGGGCATCGGCCAGGTCGCCGGATCTGTTCGAGCCAGCCATGATTCCTGCGCAGGCAACGCAGCGAAATTCGAGATCGATCGAAATGGGTCGACATCGATTTCTCGGCGGCGATCGCGGCGATCGCGGCGATCGCGGCGCGCGCGGAGAAACTCGAAGAATAGGAGAATTGCTTGGAGGATAGAGGAATTGCTTGCCTGTGACCGAAGGGAAGAAGATACCGATGAGAATGGTGAAGGTAGTGGTGAGATCGACCTGGATCTGATTGAACGAGGACGGAGCCATCAGGTCGACGTCCTTGGGGTCGCTTCCGAAGGCGATCAACTGGCCTTCCTCTTGGAAGCTGTCCCATATGTTCTCTAAAACGTGTTACGTACGGTTGCAGTTGTATTGTAGTACACCCGACCCTGCAACGATCTTATCATTCGAACACCTATCTCTACCTAAGAACACGCCACTGGCCAATCCACGAATTCCATTCTTGATGGTCACGTTGTTTTCCAGGTAGTAAGGATCGCACTTGCCGGTGTTGTTTCCGCAGTAAAGTCGATGAAGAGTTCCGCTCACGTTCTTGTTGCAGTCGGTCAGCACGTTGATATCCTTCAACAACCGTCTACCGAGAACGCACAATCTGCAAAAAGGATAACGATAAGAGGGAGCAAAGTTTGGCGGGGAGCAGAGCAGAGTTTGGAAGGGAAGTTGCGGCGAATAAGGGCAGTGTACGCCGCGACTATGTACTTGAGGGATTCGTTGCCGTAGATGTTGTAGAATAAGCCCACGTAGACGGCCACGATGGAGAGGATAACGCAGGCTAGGGCCACCGAGGCAAACTTGTTGACAAACTTGACGCCGACGAACACGATGGTGCCCATTACCATCAGCAGACCCGTTCCGTATACTCGAAAGTTGTTGTACATGATGTTTGGGTCTTTGGTGAAGTCTCCGAATATACTGAGCGATGGCGCCATGTAAGTCTACGCAGATTTTAACGAAATTATTTTACCCTCTCTCTCTCTCTCTCTCTCTCTCTCTCTCTCTCTCTCTCTCTCTCTCTCTCTTTAAACAGAAGAGAAGATTAAAGGTTTGAACTATGCTAATGAAACGAATTTCTTTTTTTGCTTGCCAAAAGTAAGGGTTACGTTGCGACACGACTGACTATGACATTGGATCAGTTGGATCGATCAGATCCAACAAAGAGAAGAAAAAGGAAAAGAAGAGGAGGAAGAGAAAGAGAAAGAGAAAGAGAAAGAGAAAGAGGAAGAAGAAGAAGATGAAGATGATGATGATGATTGTTTCTGACCAAGATAACATTGATTTACCAAGACAATTTCCACGGCACCGATGATGTACATGGCAGCGGCCAAGGTGGTACCCGTGTAGAAGAGCATCCCCACAGCGCCACCAAATTCCGGCCCTAAACTTCTGGATATCATGAAGTAGGAGCCTCCGGCTGGTACCACGCCGTTGGTCGCGATCGCACTCATACTGATGGCCGTCAGCATCGTCTGAGTAGCGCAGATACGGAACATTTGTTTTCGTTTTCGTTTTCGTTTTCTCTTTCTTTTTTTTCAAGAGAATCGAGTTGAAAAGGAGGAGGACGAAAGAGGAGAGAAAGGAGCGAAACGTCGGACTGATTGTCGGGTTTTCGTTGTGACATTGGTGTCTCGAATCAAGTGCGATTGCTCGTCTTTGTTGCCAATCGACGTTTGCAACTCACCACGCAGCAACAACACAACACGATGAAGAAACCTTGAATGGCGCCAGCGGTGCCAACGACCCAGGTCAAACGAATGAAGAGAATCACACCGAAGATGTTCTGGATGCAGGGCAGGAAGACACCGATCAGGGTGCCCATTCGTGCTCCCCCCTGAACAGGTGGAGTTTTGGCATCCGGATCGGTCGCGGCTGGAATCGTGTTGCTGTAGTCTGACAGGCTGTTGAGCAGCGTGGAGATTCGAGGCCGGACTTCCATCTCTTCCTGAAAAGCAAGAAAATCGGCTGATCGCGCCTTGTTGCGATACGGCCTGCGCTCCTCTGTACGACTTTGACCGATCGTTTGAAAGTTCCTTGAAAAGATCGTTCGATTTAAGGAGACAAGGACAAGGACAAGGACAGGAAAGGTGACGGCGATAATTAGCGGGCGAGAGAAGCCATAGTTTCAACAGCCTGTGCCTGGCAGCACATCGAAAGCTCCGGTGACCAGATTAGCGTGAAACGTCTCGTTAATTGGATCGCTTTGAGACTGTTTCCATTTCCACCTGATGCACACGCGCAGCCGCAGGCCCCTGGAACTTTTTGGAAACAGCAGCTACGAAAAGCGTGACGAAAATGACAATTAGGTGACCCAACCCAAGTCTCTCTCTCTCCAAGTCTCTCGTCGATCGTTTCGATAAAATACTACATATAAAATATTATTCACGCGACATTTTCGTCGTAATCAAGCTCTCTGTAATCTCACGAAGTAATTAAGAACTTTCGTCGAAATTCTTCCTTTCAATCTTCGACAAAGAGTGGTAAAACTAGTTGTCTCGAGGAAGGAAAATCTCTCGTGGAAGCAAAATCTCGAGTGCAAACAAATTTTTCGAATGAAAAATTAAGGCGTTTCTTCAACGAGGAACTTTGGAAAGTAAACATTCGCCTAGGAAGAAACTTTCCTCGGCGAGAAAATGTTTCTTTCAATTAATCTGGTGACTTTCGGCGAGCCGCCTCGAACGCGAGATCGAGTCGAATTATCGGTATCAGTCGAATCAATCCTCCGGGGAGGATTTACCGATAATAACGCGATAACTGTACGATTCGATTTATGCTTGCGTCAAAGTTTAACGACAAGTTAACGTTTTTTTCGACCAGCTATCTCGCCCGTTTCTAATCGAATTTGCTTACAACTAGTCCTGTTCAAACGATGCCACTAATTAATTAATTTTCGCCGTTAGTAGTTAGGAACGAGGGATCGGAAAAACGATGAGCTGGCAAGCGTGAACGTAAATGCGGATGGCTGGATGAAAGGACGAGATGGTTGACAACGCTATTGTTAGTAGCCCTTTTGGAACTTTGTGGACGAGATATTTGACGACGTGGTGTCGAACGACATCGAATTCTAGGCCAGCCAACAGCCGAATTAACGAGATGGTCGAATTGAATTAACAAGGTTAAACCGAATGAATAAGTTTCAATTAACAAATGACAGTGGAAGATTTAGAAAGTGAAGCTTGGAAGCTTCTTATCCACGAGCGTTTTGTCTTGTCCACAGAATGCGAAACGATGGAGACGATGGAGAAGGAGAAAATTGCGGTAATAGATAGATCTGGTATGTACTAGATACCATTTAGATACAAGGAGAATCGCTAAAGCGTAAATCGAGAATCGTTTCTTTCGTTTATATCTTTATAGTATTTGTATCGTGCGACAGCGCGGTTGGCTGGCGAATCTTTGCGTCGATAAAAACGAAGACGAGGACGAAGAATCCAGGTGCAAGCAACGTTACGTAACGATCGGATTCTGACAGGCAGAGATTCTGACGGCAAGAAAACGGGAAGGGAGAGAAGATGGTGATCCGAGAATGACGCAACGAAGGCTGGAAACGCGTGCCACCCATCGCGATAAATTTACACTTTATAGCTTACAGTCTACAGAGAGAGAGAGAGAGAGAGAGAGGGAGAGAGAGAGAATCTACAGTGTACAGTCTATAGCAGTCTGTAGCCGGTTAATTAACGTGCTCCCTTTGACTACTACCGTAGCCTCCTCATAGACTGAAACGCGCGCGCGGTTTCGCTTCGACCTCGATTCCTGGATATCCAATTATCCGTTTCTCTTCGAGCTGCAACCGCTCTCTTTCTCTCTCTCTCTCTCTCTCTCTCTCTCTCTCTCTCTCCACTCTGTTCTCTACTCTCTACACACACTCTCTCTCTCTCTCTCGGTCCGTCGAAATTATCTTTGACCAGGTCAGCCTTATCGTCGCTGATTTCCTCCTGTACACGTTTTGCTTCTCTCTATAGCAGTCCATCTCTCTCTCTCTCTCTCCCTCCCTCCGTTTTTCTGTTTCCCTCGTTGTTGCTTTTCGCCACCCTCCGTCTTTCCTTTATATACCTTCTTTGTCGAGAGTCTCTTCGGGAAACCGAGAAGTTGGTCAATGTTTCTGCCGAATTGGTGCATTCGGTCGTTCTCACGGTTGGATGTTCCGAGGGAATACGAAGGATATCTATATGTTATCGCTCGTTCCAGAGACTCTATTTTGTCCGACCTCTCGTCGGTACGCGCTCTCCTCTTTTTCCCTTTGCTTTTCGACCAGCATTTTCAATCGTCTTTCTCGCAACGCTTAGCCGAGACAATCAAATCATTGTCGTCGAGGAATCACGAGATATATACGAAACAGTCAATCGAAAAGTAGAAAGACGCAGAGAATGTAAATTGACCATTCCGTCGAGACGAGAGAGCCAAGAGATATCGGATCACGCGACGAAGGGAGAGAAGATGGTGAGAGAGACGGTGGAGAGAGATAAACGGGATAGAAGCGAGAATTTAGCAATGTGAATGGTCGAGAGTAGTGGAAAAGTCGAGCGGGCGAGGGGAAAACCGCTCGCGGGGATAGCGATTATAGCAATAAGAAAAAGAAGCTCCTCGAGGACCCGTGACACTCGAGGGGCGGGAGAGGGCCTCGTCGGATGGGGAACGAACAAAAGAAAAAGAAAAACCGTCGTCGCGAAGGACAATGTTTCGAAGAGCGAAACAAGAAGAAACGCGCGACCGCGGAGGAATCCGTTCGCGGCTTGCTTGTTCGTTGAACGACAATTAAGCGAATTGCACACTCCAGCGGATCCAACTTCCCTTTGCTTTTTAATGAAGGACCCTTCTTCCTCCCGAGGAAAGAAAAGAAAAAAAGGGGAGAGAAAAATGAGTCGGAACGTCCGTGCGTCGTTCCAGTTTCTCTTTCATTCGTTTAACTTTCACACTGCTGATACCCGCTGCGAATATATCGCCGATCGAACAAATTTCAACTGCGAATTCAAATCGTTTTCGCCTTCACTTCCGGCTCGAAGCTTTCGCGTAAGCGTTTTTCCTCCGACGATCGATCGCCTTTGAAATCGTCTTGACTTCAACACTGAGCCGGAAAGGATTTCAAGTAAGCGTCAGTAACACGCAGTTTACGTAGCTGTGAGTTGCAATTAAACGGGACACGCGCTTTGCATTATTGCGTGATACTTACGCTATAGAGGAAGAGATTCGTCTCGTATTCGGCCTTCTTCTCGGAATTACCGCCACCCACCATCGAGTCTCCATCTCCGCAGGTGCCACCGCCATCGCCTGAAAACACACAACGTATTCTTGAAACTTTTCCCTTCCCTCTCTTTCTTTCGATTTTGTTTCGCTCTCTCTCTCTCTCTCTCTGTCGAATTTTATTAGTACAAACGTCGAAAATCTGCGAATGGCCTGCAAACGGAGAAAAAAAGAGCAATATTCCGATAAAAAGGAGCAATAGAGCAATGATAGAGTAAAATAGCGGTTGAATAGCGTCTGCAAATTAGTTTGTCTGCCAATTTGAATATCCGTGCGATAAAAAGTTTCAATAGAAATAGGAGGGGCGAAAGTGGGAACGTTTCAGCTGCAAAGTTTTTAATAGGCGTCGAACGAAAAGCAAGCTGATAGATTCTAGCTTGTTGGTTTGCGACTGGAGAGGTTCGCTTTCTTCCTCACCCTCGTGATATGTTTTTCCTTTTCTTTTTCCCTCGTTTACGCATTCACGGTTGCACTGCATCCACGAATTGAATTTCGATCGAGCTTTTCTTTTCTACCGTACGACGTTACCGGGTCGTTTGCAAATCAAAGCTCGAGATACAAAACTTTTAACTTTAAATTTGAACTTAAATTTCAACTTTGAATTATCATTTCTTCGATAGGTGCTCGAACGAACAAAGGTGCTACGAAAGCTATGAAAACGAAGAAAGCAATTGTATTTGATCATCGACTATCCTGTCGGAGCTTGCTGCTTTTCTCTTCTTCGTTTCGCGAAATGAATAAATCACTAAACGGACGCACGAACCGTGAAAGATTGACAGTCTTGCAAATCTTTAGGATCGTAAGTTACAAGCTAGACATTTTTAAACGGTCATTTTCTCCGAGAAAATTCCACCTAGCTCGTTATTTCGTCTCTGCGTCGACATTGTAAAACGCTTGCTCGCGTTATCGCGCCGAATGAACCGTGGAAACGTTACGCGACGCAAATTTCCATTGCATCGTCTCTCGATCGTTCATCCATCTTCCCCCGTGAAATGCTCGTTCGTTCGTTCGTTCGTTGAGGATCGAACGGAGCGGCCAAGTTTGTAGATGTACTCGGACACTCTCGTAAAATTGTGTGAAATTGGGCAAAATAAGGGAGAAACACATCTAGGGAAATTTACGATTTACTCACGATTTTGCGAATTTCAGGGAATTTGAGTTTTTTTTTCGCATAGTCAAGGGGTTTCTCCGGAGAAACCTTTCCACCGGAGATGCGAAAAGTGGAAATTGCCAGTCGATGTTCGCTTGCGTTCTTTCAATCTCAGGACGCGATCGATCGGAGCGACTATCGATTTCAGACGACGCAAAGCGAGCTCGCAACTTTCTTCGCGCGGAAACGATTATTTATCGGTGGGAAACAGACCGAACATCCCTGTATCCGCCGCATTTCTTTTCTCTCAGCCCTCGTTCGCTCCTCTGATCGTCGAGCGAGTCGAACGAGTCGAGCGAGTCAAGCTGGTCCAAACGAAGAAAGATGAGGAATTCCTTTGCCAGGCTTCGAGACTCCGAGACACTCAGGCTTAGGTACTGTTGACTATGTAGTCACACGCAGGCACACGCGTGCTCGTACACTTCGGAATGTAATAATTAATTTCAATAAAGATTCTAAAGGATATCGGTGTATCGAAGATGACGAGATAACGAGAGTCGCGACGAGCAATTAAGAAAGATTGGGACGTATATTACGCGAAAGACAAGATTGTAGTCGAAGTAGTTGGAACCGGATTGCCACGTCGCGACGGTTGTCCGAACAATTTAAAAACTAGGCCAGTCGATATTGTAAGTCTGCTGATTTGCCTCTTTGTTGCTTCGTGAAGCTGTGTCTCTCCGCGTCCGCTTGACACGACGACGATATCTGGAAATCGGTAATTGGCATCGTCGTGATCGTCGATGATACTCGTTCACTTAAAATCTCGAATGAATCGCGGCACGTCGGTATTTCCTTTCGTTGATCCAGTAAAACACAGGCATGTACACATCCACAACCAAAATTGGAAGACTCGAGTAAGAATTTTGAATACTATTCGAATAATATTTTATGAGTGTTTGTAATGTCTCCTTATGGGGACACGTTGCTTACAAAATAATGAAACGAAGAAGAAAAATTTTAGACGAGCATGTTGAAAATATTCTTCGTATCAAACAGATACGAGAGAGACTGATGGTAATCGAAAAGACAAGCTCGGTGTTCTCGTTTCAAAAATCTTTATATATTTTTTTTTAATTCATACAAATACACTTTTCTAATCAATGCATCGTTTCATTGTAAGGGTTGTTTCGATATTCTCCTCCTAAATAAACGTAGGTTGCGTCGAACTGATGAAAAAAATATGTAATCTGTGCGCGGCTGACAACGAGAAGATGTAAAAAGTTCAAAGATCAATTCATGATCAATCGATGATCGGTATCTTCTTTTCCGCCAGAGACTCGCGCATCGCGAGCGTTACGATTCATCATCGTTACGAGTCCGAAAAGATAAAAGATAAAGCGGGGATAAAATGTTTGTCGGAGATAGAAATTTCAGAAAAGAAATGGGTGAAAAGAAAGGGAAGAGGGAAGAGGGAAGAGGGAAGAGGGAAGAAAGAGTTTGGTTGGCGAGAGAGTTTGGAAGGGAAGGTCAGAGGCAAAGGCCAATGCTGATTCGGCTACTTGAATGAGCGCGCGCCGCGGTTCTTTGTGTGTTCTCTCCGAGCGAAACAGGACAAAGTACCGAGCGACACGTGACAAAGTAGCGTTGAAACTAAAGTTGGAACAACATGGAAGAAAATGCGGTCGACTTTCGTATAGGCGGAAGGCTGTCGAAACGTCGTTGTCGCGTCTGTCTCTTTATTGGTAAATCTCTTTCTCTTCTTACTGTTCTAGCCTTTCACGTTCCTTCTCTGATCCTTCTCCCGGCGCGCGTCTTCATTCGCGCGTCTTCATTGCCACGTCAGAGAATGAATTTTTCTACTCGCTTCCTCCGAATCCTCCGAATCGTCTCTTACGTTTCTTTCCTCTCCCAGCGCGGTCCTCTTTCCGATTCCACCGACACGAGCAAAGACACACAACGGCACGTCCACAGTCTAACACAGTGTCCAACGGTCTAACTAACGTGTAATTTCCCTCCGAATTGGAAATTAATCGTATTTGGTGGTTAGGGTTAGGTCGATCGATTCAGCTGCAAACGAGAGGAACAATTTCGCGGATGCTGCTGGCGATAGGACACGTCTTGCGGTGTTACGCGAAATTCAGTTACTTCTGGTCAGGTGCGCAGCTTGAGAACTTGGCACGGTCAAACAAGTCTCGGCAACGGTGAGTTGAGTTGGTCCTGCTCGTTCGATAGGATCGTTTCAATTATGTATTTCTCCGACAGAAAATTGCGGGCAAGTCAAGCGTAGCTAGCTCGTTTCGTCCGTAAAACCTGCGACTTTGCGACACTTTTCCGCTTCTTTGTAGCGGTTCTTTTCTCCGGTTCGTCTGGAGTTTAATCACGATCGACCAGCTGTATCGAGAGCAGCAAGTCCGTGACACGTAATTTTGTCGTAAATTTGCCGGACTGGACAATCACCAACTCGTTTAACTTTCGTCGCCGAAAGAACAACGAGGGACAAGCGGGGCAAGTTGAGAGAGAAGGAGTTGGGACGCGAGAGGGACGTTGCAAATCTATGGAAATGTGGCTCGGCACGAGGGCGGAAAGCAGGGAGAAACGAAACACGTGTAAGAAGATGTCTAAGGGAAACGGTGGAGGGAAACAGGCCGCGAGGACAGCTTTGATTCCCGCTACATACATAACACAAGGAGAAATTGGCGGCAGCCGTTTAATCGAGGGCTCCGTGTTTAGTCGGTTCCGCCGACCGGCAAACTCCATCGAGTTTCGTCGAGCATCCCTAATTATTTTAATCGTGTTTGCTGCTTCCATTACGCGTTGCTCGGTAATGGCCACGACTGGGAACAGAGGACAGGAGGGGGGGGGGGGGTTAAAAGCAAAGTGCGCGATGCAAGTTTCGCGAAGCGGGCCAATTACCATGCACGTGTCGTTGTCCGCAATGTGTAAATATTGTGACCGAGCCGCGAGGAAGGGGCAGATTAATTCCACGGGAACAGACGCTATCGCTATTGCGATGTTTGATACTGTACGCGCCAGTTCTTAATGGATCGCAAATTTTGTCAGATTAATTATTATTCAGCGCGACCAACTCTGTCGACAATGCCGGAAATGTTGGTTGAAGGTTCGAAAATGGCCTCGACTGTCCTTGAATCGAACAAACGAAACGAAAGGATCAGCGTTTGATCATCATGTTTGACGTACGTAACGTTCTTTCTCGCACCTAACACGTGCACGTGACATACGACGTACACGTGGACATATATACGTATGTAGGTACCTGTCGTCAATTACGTTTACGATCTGTTGCACAAACAATCAGAAACTCGTCGGGTTTCGCACGTCGCAGGTGCTGTGGCCGCAGCGACAACAAACTGTTCAAACGTGTTGGCTGTTCAAATTTTCGGACTTTCGGTTGGAATAGTTTGAAACTTTTCGTTCGATCTGGACCGAAAGATAGGTAGATGTTGTTCGCGCTGTTACCAACTGCCAGTTCTCGAGCAGCCGCCAGCTTGCTATCCCACGTTCGAGATTGCTCTCGCCCGATAACCGTAAAGATTGAAATTTGGAAAAACGGTAGATAGATAGTTGGGCTCTCGAGTGGAGAGGACAAGTGCGTGGAAACGGAAGCGATTTTTTTCGAAAGATTCGAGCGACGAGATACGTAGATTTACGAGGAAAAGTATTGGGAACAGTTGTGGAGTTGGACATTTTTGTTGGACGAATCATTTGCGAATCAGGTGCGTCGTCAGAACGGTAAGCGATTAGAAATTAAAGTATTCACGTTTTCGATTCGACGAGCTCGAGTAAGATGAAATTTCGTTTCCGATGGCAGAGAATTAGCCGAGACTTGAACGAACCGAACGTTTAGTCGAATTGGGATACGCGCGATCCGACGCGAGTAATTGCTGCAAGTATAGTACTTGGACCTGAGCGTATCTGT